TGCGAGAAGGTAAAACATATGCGCATATTGCGGAGATAACTACTACAACAGGAGCTAGACTACGGGCTAGGCACGGGTGCTCGTGTGAGCTCTGCGTTCGTTGGTCCTAGTGCACACACTGCTTGCTAGTTCACGGGGCAAGTTGGCAAGAGTTTCACTAGAGAAAGTTGACAACAATGGTGGAATCAAGTTGGCAGGGCAAGACCACATCAGAGCTAGCATTCAGGTCGGTCGACTGCCAGCGCAGCATGGTCGACCGCGCTCCAGCAGTGCAGAGTCGACGGCGTGCCAACGTCGCAGGTTGACGGCGTGCCAGCGTTGCTCCCGCAGAACAGCATCGCACCAGCTTCGCAGGTGCTCGCAGATGATTGGCGTGCTGAGCATCGTCACCTGCACAGCGCACACACCAAGTCAACCTGGCGCTAACAACTGCATCTGATCAGCCACGTCGACCTCGGGACACCACCACCGAGGTCGGACTCACCAACTTCGCCTGGGCGACCGTCGCACTCCTCCGCAGAACCTCGTCACCCAGGTAACCTGGTCGACCGGGCAACCAGGTCGACCAGCTGCTCCTGTATGTGTCCGTTGACCTCCCAAGTCGACGACCACCCCAAGTCGACCTCACCAGGTCGACCACACCCCTGGTCGACCAGCTCCAGGTCGACGTCACTCCTGGTCGACAAGCTCCACGTCGACCAGCACTTCTGGTCGACAATCTCCAAGACGACCAGAACAGTTGTCAACCGAAGTCGGCTACCCGAAGTCGGCGTCACCAAGTTGACGCCCTGCTACTCGACGCCCAGCTGCTCGGCATCCTGAGTCGTGGTGGACGTCAGCCCCTCCTTCGTCGACCACCGGGTCAGGTCGATCACCAGGTCGACATCACTCCTGGTCGACCTACCACCAACTCGACCAGCGAGCCTGGTCGACCAACCACCAGGTCGACCAGCAGTCCTGTTAGCCGACCACCCAAGTCGGCTGCCCCCAAGTTGACGTCCTCCGCAGGTCGACTTCCGAGGTCGACCTCCCTGAAGTCGGCGCCACCCTGAAGTCGGCGCCCGTGCAGTGGCCCCCGTGCAGGTCGACCTCCTCGTCAACCAGCTCGCCCACTACTGCAGGTCGGCTGCTCCCCTCACACCCGACCACGAAGTCGGCTCCGCCCAAGCGAGGAAGGGGCCAACACACAACTTCCGTTGACACTCCCCTGCCGCGTTCAAGCTTGGGTCCCTGCCCACACGGCACTACTTCTTGGAGACTAGCTCGTTGACGTGCACCTAACAAACAACACGTCGTCCACCGCACCAGCCATGCAAGAGGGCATGGCACCTACTGCTGCCACCGCGTGGAAGTCCTCTCCGGCCTCCGGCGCCAGCGAGACGGTCGGCTCCACGACGCCGACCAGCGAGCACGACGCCGTCTTGTCGTCCCGACCCTTGCCGCCAGCAGAGGAGTCGGCGTCCTTCGCCGAGGTCGACGTCGTCGACTGCTTCTCCTTGCGCGGCTTGTTTCCTCCTCGACGAGGACGACGACTGTCAGACCTCCCGCGGCCTCCCTTGGCGTCGGAGTCGTCGGAGTCACTGCGGTCGGTGCACTCGAAGGAGAGGTGGTCGGGGTCGCCGCACAGCCAGCATTCCCAACGTCAACCTCCTCCTCCTCGACCGCTGTCCTTGGTCGACTTCTTCTTGTCGACCTCCTTGGCCGGCTTCCAGCCACTGCTACCACCGCCGCCAGACTGTCAGCGCTGCCCCGGTCGACCCCCTTGCTTCGCCGGGGCGACAAAGTTCGCCTGCGCCATGAGCTCCTGGGACCGCTCTGCCTCCTGCATTGCCTCGTCTTGCAGGATGTACGAGGTCAAGTTGTCCTCGTTGAGCGTCGTCCTCGTGCTCGGCGCCATTGACAACCGTTTCAGGAGGTTGTAGGTGCTCGAGAGTCCCTGCATAACGTGGGTGACGTACGACGCCGTCGAGTACTGCGCGCCGGCCATCCTGATGGTGGCGAGAATTCGCCGGGCACGGTTGCAGTAGTCGGTCGCCGTCTCCTCGTCGCCCATACGCAGGTGCGTCAGCTGTCCCTCCAGCTGGGCGATGAACAAGTCGTCGGTGACTTGGTAGGTCGACTCAATGAAGTGCCACGCCTGGTGGCCGGCGTCGAGGTGCTCCCGACACCACTTCAAGGCTATCTGTACGCCCGGCGAGCAGCACCGCGAGATGACTGTGAAGGTCAACAGCTGCACGGCGCGAAACTTTGCTCGCAGGTCGGGGTCGTCCGGTGTCGCCATGGTTCCTCGGGCGAAGCCGATCAGCCCGGCCATCTCCAGCTGGGGCTCAATAGCTTCCTTCCAGGTGAGGATGTCAAGTCGACCGACCAGCGGGGGGGTGACCGAGATCCTGTCCGGCGTAAACTTGAAGTAATCGTAGCTCGGCGCAATCCCGCTCGCTGTCACGTGGGTCGCCGACATCGGCGACTGTCCGCTTCGTCGAGCTCCGACATCGCCCTGCGAGGTGCCTGCAGCCGCCGTTGACCGCATCCCTCGCGCCTGAACGCCGCCGACTTCATCGGCGTGTATCACACCTCTTTGCCTCGACGTGCCTCCCGCACTACTGCCGACCTGGTCACCACCGGCGTTGACGCCCACGTCGACGCCACCCTCTGTGTTCACCGGTCGAGGAGACGCGGGTTGAGGAGGGTGCAACGTCTCCCACATGGTGCGAATGCCAGCCTCCACAACCGCCCAGGGAATCGTTCCGTACTCCTGGGCCCCATGGCGTGTCCTCGCGTCCTCCAGCTTTGCCTCCAGGGTCTCCATTCCCTTGGCGTCACCTACGCGCACGATAGTGACTGCACGACTGCCGGCCTACGAACAACTTAGGTAAGTGACCTCTACGTCGACCTGACTGAAAGGTAAGTCGTGTGCCGTCCATGCTCATCGCACCATGCGGAGATAACTACTACAACGGGAGCTAGACTACAGGCTAGGCACGGGTGCTCGTATCATCTCTGCGTTCGTTGGTCCTTAGTCGTTTTCCTAGTGCACACACTGCTTGCTAGTTCACGGGGCAAGTTGGCAAGAGTTTCACTAGAGAAAGTTGACAACAATGGTGGAATCAAGTTGGCAGGGCAAGACTACATCAGAGCTAGCATTCAGGTCGGTCGACTGCCAGCGCAGCATGGTCGACCGCGTTCCAGCACGACTTGGTCGACCGTGCTCCAGCAGTGTAGAGTCGACGGCGTGCCAACGTCGCAGGTTGACGGCGTGCCAGCGTAGCTCCCGCAGTACAGCATCGCACCAGCTTCGCAGGTGCTCGCAGATGATTGGCGTGCTGAGCCTTGTCACCTGCACAGCGCACACACCAAGTCAACCTGGCGCTGACGACTGCATCTGATCAGCCACGTCGACCTCGGGATACCACCACCGAGGTCGGACTCGCCAACTTCGCCTGGGCGACCGTCGCACTCCTCCGCAGAACCTCGTCACACAGGTAACCTGGTCGACCGGGCAACCAGGTCGACCAACTGCTCCTGTATGTGTCCGTTGACCTCCCAAGTCGACGACCACCCCAAGTCGACCTCACCAGGTGGACCACACCCCTGGTCGACCAGCTCCAGGTCGACGTCACTCCTGGTCGACAAGCTCCACGTCGACCAGCACTTCTGGTCGACCATCTCCAAGACGACCAAAACAGTTGTCAGCCGAAGTCGGCTACCCGAAGTCGGCGTCACCAAGTTGACGCCCTGCTACTCGACGCCCAGCTGCTCGGCGTCCTGAGTCGTGGTCGACGTCGGCCCCTCCTTCGTCGACCACCAGGTCAGGTCGATCCCCAGGTCGACATCACTCCTGGTCGACCTACCACCAAGTCGACCAGCAAGCCTGGTCGACCAACCATTAGGTCGACCAGCAGTCCTGTTAGCCGACGACCCAAGTCGGCTGCCCCCAAGTTGACGTCATCAAGTTGACGTCCTCCGCAGGTCGACTTCCCAGGTCGACCTCCCTGAAGTCGGCGCCACCCTGAAGTCGGCGCCCGTGCAGTGGCCCCCGTGCAGTTCGACCTCCTCGTTCACCAGCTCGCCCACTGCTGCAGGTCGGCTGCTCCCCTCACACCCGACCACGAAGTCAGCTCCGCCCAAGCGAGGACGGGACCAACACACAACTTCCGTTGACACATATCTCTTCGCGATAACCCTCAATCTCCATGTTGATCCGTGTCCGCCCTTTGCTTGGGATGATGCTATCATCACCAAGGCGAATGGGGCAAGACGGTCCTTCAACGAGGATCATGCATGCTGTGACCCACTTTTCGTCAAAGAGGGAAACAGTTGCACCCGTGTCAACAAGGATTTTTTCGTTTTCCCCGTTCACGCTACCCGCAAGCAACAAATTTTGTTGATGCTTTGGGCGAATAGGACATGCCACAATATTTGTCGAAGGTTTGAAATACACCTTAACGTTGTGACGAGCACGTCCATATGACTGAGAGTTGGTCCACTATACATGGAGTCCCTTGTCCCACGCAGCTAGGACCGGCCATCCACAAAGCGCATGGAATAATTCGCCTTTCACTGTGCGAGTAACCAACGCGACCGAAGTCAGGGGGTGCTCTTGAGTGCAACGACTCACAATCTCAATGACAGAAGGCAGAATGTCCAAGCCACAGAAAATAATTGAAAACTTATCCTGCATTGCTTCTATGGAAATGTTCTCAAGTGGGTACGATCGAGGATAAAAAACATAGTTTTCATTCAAAGAAGAGGCAAACAAACAATAGACTTTGCAATGAGCAAGCTTCTCTAGCTTTAATATAGCATCATCACATAGCACATATGCCTCATCCACTCGATCTACTCCTCCAACTAGGTACCCACACCCTAGTTGGGCTCCTGAAAATCCTTCTTTTCAGAAGGTCCAGCGCCGCCTAGCTTAGGCTTCCCAGAATACTTGATAGCGTTCTTGTCACGGCAGTGCTTTTGGATGTGTCCAATCCTTCCACAGCCGTTACACCTCATCTTGGAGAAGTCGGGCTTGTTAGGGCCATGACCTTCCCCCCCGTTAGCCCTCTTGGCCTGTGGTCCAGGCTGGTGATCACGCTGATGGAAGGGTCGCTTGTTCCAACCGCCTCCGCCGTTGGCATTCTGGGGTCGGTTTCCACGACCACCAGAGCTCTCAGCACGGGGCTGCTGGTCTGGCTTTGCAGGACCACCTGCTCCTTCATCTCCTTGTAGGTCGTCCAATTGGTCATGCCACCGGTCATGTGTGCCTGCTGCAGCTTGACAGAGAGGCCTTTCATAAAGACGTGCATCATCTCCTCCTCAGACAAAGGCTTATGGAGCAAGCGTGCTGCGGCCTCAAACTCGACCGCATATTCCTGCACCGAACGGTCACGACGCTTGATACTCTCAAGGCGTCTGCGCAGTTCCAGGCCGGACTTCTTGACCATGAATGCCTTTTTCAGCGCGGTGCAGAACTCTGGCCATTCAAACGGTCCCTGCGCCTGCTTCTTAGCGCCATACACTGCCCTGCGGGCCACCTCGTCCAATGCACGAGTAGCTGCAGTGACGCGAGCCTCAGGACGCACAATCGCAAGGATCATGGTGTCATTCACCAGGTCAAGCCAAGGCTGCACCTCCGTCTTGCTATGGTTAAACTCAGGCAGAGGCGTCGAGAGAGACCCAAAGGACGAGGTCTCGGTTGGAGGTGGCTGGTGCATAGCCGTCGTAGCGCCTACCGGCGTATGTGCGGGCGGAGCGGATGCCGGCTGAGCAGTAGGAGCGGGCCTACGCCCAGGAGGAGGCTGGAAAATGCCCTCCCTCCTAAGCTCTTTGAACTGGTCATGGAGCTTGTTGAATGATGCTTGCAGATTAGTGCAAGTCTTCTGAAGCCACTCAATCTGGCGCTTTTTAGTGCCCAAGCTCCGACGGAAGTCAGTAACCTCCTTCGTGGCAATGCGCAGATCAGCCTCAAGGTTCTGAGTATGCTTCTTGAGTCCATCAATGGACGCCTGCTGCTGCAGGATGGTGATATTCTGAGTTGCCACTTTAGCATGGAGTTGGACACTCTCCTCGGAGATAGGAGAACTCATGCCTTCACCCTCGGTGAAGTCATTTTCATCACCAGTGTTCTCCTTTTCACCGGTGTTATCCTCTTCCCCATGGTTGTCAGCTTCACCATGATTATCAGCTTCATCATGGTTCTCAGCTTCATCATGGTTCTCAGCTTCACCATGGTTATGCTCATCTCCAAAGTCCAGGTCCAGGTCCTCAATATTATCCAACTCAAGGTCAACCATTGCCTCATCTTGATTGAGGTCAATCTCAGCAGCATTGTTCACCACCTCATTAGGTGCAGTGGGCCCTTCCTCCCTTGCCATATCCTTCTCTTGGCCAGATGCCATAAGGTTTAAGGGAGCTTGTAAGATCTGGGTTGTTTCTGTTTAAGTCTTTTTACCACCTCAATGGTGAAGCAAGAAATTCTTGTAAACAAATTTCTTCTACAGAATAATCCAAGGTTACCAAAGGTAACAGATTTGTTGTCAAACACTCCCAATCACCTAAGTGAAAGGGCAGGGTCTATCCAAATCTCAATAAATAGAACTTGTATAACCCTCAACAAATCCTCCAGATCCAAGTTTATACTCCACTACTTCTACCAAAAGGTGGGCAAGAGAGATAAATCTCTCTTCTTAGCTTGAAGTTGCAGTTGTAGATCATGTAGATCTTGAACTCTTCAAGCTTCCAGATCTTGAGTGTTCTCTTAAAGAGAAACCACAACTCCAAGATTTATAAATAAAAATCTCTAGGGGAAAAATCCCCACTAGGCTTAGGATAACCCTAGCTCTAGATACCAATGTAACAACCACGGCCGTGTGTTAAATATAAATCCTCCTTGACAATTTATATAAAATCAAGATACAAGGCTTCCAGGATTAAACTAATCCCATCAAGGGATATTCTAGCCTTGATAGTGCTCTTGAAGCTTGAGAGGAGAACAAGGACTTGAAGAGTTGATGAAGCTTTAGTAGATAGGTAGGTAGGTAGCTTCTTGTAGAGCTTGTCCTTGAAGAATCACAAGTCTAGTTGTGTAGGAAAACTTGTTAGGAGAACCAAAAGACTTAGAGTGAAAATCCCATTTTCAAGTCAGATTGTTGGAGTTGGGAAGTAGGAATGAGCTTGAAAGCTTCAACCCCTTCCACAATACCCCTTGGGGCTCTTCCCAACCATGGCTTCTATGGTTGGGGAGCTAATAGGCTTGGAGCCTAGGTGGCATCTTTGTTTGGTTGGGAAAACCCAACTCAATTGTGTTGTATGATTGTTTTGTTGTTTGGTTGGATTGTAACAACAACTGGCACAATTTGATTGGTTGGAAATCCAACCTTCCCAATCTTCACTTTGATGGGTTGGAAGTTTCCAAGCCTCAAGGTTGAGGTTTGGAACAACCCAACCAACCTTCCCCTCCAACTCAACCTTCCCGATTCCCATCGAGTCATTTCTCATCGAGGAACTCTCTCGATGTTGACTTAGGAAGCTAGCGGTATATTAGGCAGAGTAGGTCATGCGTTACACTCCCCCCCCCTAGGTGGCAACGTCCCCGTTGCCTTAGGGTGATTCTGAGGACGAGCGCTTCGAGCACGCCGTGTCACATTACGACCAGGGTCAACACCCTCCACTGGTTGTGCGGCAGCTCGTCGAGCCAGGTCTGTCATGTATGACTGAACTGCAGTTTCAGTCAAATGCTCTTCTGGCTCCCATGAGTTGTGTTCAGGCCCATAGCCTTTCCACTTGATGAGGAACTCTCGTACTGTGTTGCGGCCGCGTTGTCGATCACGATGCATCAGCACTCGTTCGACTTCATAAAACAGTTCCTCCCCTAGGAAGATCGTTGGTGTCGATAAGTACTTGCCCTCTGCAACGTATTTGTTCAACAGAGACACATGGAAGACGTTGTGAATCTGCAATGTATCAGGCAGCTTAAGCTTGTAAGCTACCACACCAACACGCTTGATCACCTCGAAAGGCCCAATCCATCAAGGGAACAGCTATCATGCTCCAGGGATTTTGAGACGAATGTTCTTCGTGCTCAGCAAAACTTTGTCTCCGACCTCAAATGAGATCTGACAGGCATACAACAACCTGACAGGTTCCCTTCCTGCGGTTTGGCCAGCAGGTATACGGCAAGTGCTGCTGGCGGGGAATCGGCTGTCAGGGGCTGTTCCGGCTGCTCTGAGCAAGCTGAAGCAAGGGTCGTTCAAACCAGGAAACGACAATTTGTGTGGGACCCCGCTACCTGCTTGTGAATAGAGCCATCCCGGCTGCTCTGACCAAGCTGAAGAGAGACTCGTTCAAACAGACCAGGGAACGACATCTTGTGCGGGAAACGACTGCCTGGCTGTGCTTAGGTCCCGCCCCCCCTTGTGCATATGATCCCTCCCTACCTGCTTTATCTCTGACCAAGCTTGAAGTATCCTCTATACATGGGAACGATTAGCTAGTGCGGAATACTCCTGCATGCCTGTGCCTAGAACCATGTCTTCCTGTGTATATGATAGGTTAGTATTGCATGTGTGTGTATGAATCCTGTTTCAATGGTTGAGCTCTCACAAGTTGCAGCAGGGCATCTCAAAATATGAGAGACACCGCTGCCCGTGCATGGAACCATTTATCTCGGTGCATGGAACCATGCATCTCAGTGTCTGGAACCATGCATCTCAGTGCAAGGAACCATGCATCTCAGTGCATGGAACCATGCATCTCAGTGCATGGAACCATGCATCTCCGTGCATGGAACCATGTATCTCCGTGCATGGAACCATTTATCTCAGTGCATGGAACCATGCATCTCAGTGCATGGAACCATGCATCTCCGTGCATGGAACCTATATCTCCGTGCATGGAACCATTTATCTTAGTGCATGCCATGCATCTCAGTGCATGGACCCATCCATCTCAGTGCATGGAACCATGCATCTCAGTGCATGGAACCATGCATCTTAGTGCATGGAACCATGCATCTCAGTGCATGGAACCATTCAATTTAGTGCATGGAACGATTCATCTCAGTGCATGGAACCATTCATCTCAGTGCATGGAACCATGCATCTCTGTGCATGAAACCATTTATCTTAGTGCATGGAACCATGCATCTTTGTGCATGGAACCATTCATCTCAGTGCATGGAACTATTTATCTCAGTGCATGGAACCATGCATCTCCGTGCATGGAACCATTCATCTCAGTGCATGCCATGCATCCCAGTGCATGGAACCATTCATCTCAGTGCATGGAACCATGCAATTTAGTGCATGGAACCATTCATCTCAGTGCATGGAACCATGCATCTCAGTGCATTGAACCATGCATCTCAGTGCATGGAACCATTCATCTCAGTGCATGGAACCATGCTTTTCATTGCATGGAACCATTCATCTCAGTGCATAGAACCATTCATCTCATGGAACCATGCATTTCAGTGCATGGAACCATGCATCTCAGTGCATGAAACCATGCATCTCAGTACATTGAACCATGCATCTCAGTGCATGGAACCATGCGTCTCAGTGCATGGAACCATGCATCTCAGTGCCTGGAACCATGCATCTCAGTGCATTGAACCATGCATCTTAGTACATGGAACGATGCATCTCAGTACATGCCATGCATCTCAGTGCATGGAACCATTCATCTCACTGCAAGGAACCATGCTTTTCATTGCATGGAACCATTCATCTCAGTGCATGGAACCATGCATCTCGGTGCATGGAACCATTCATTTCATGGAACCATGCATTTCAGTGCACGGAACCATGCATCTCAGTGCATGGAACCATGCATTTCAGTGCATGGAACCATGCATCTCAGTGCATTGAACCATGCATCTCAGTGCATGGAACCATGCATCTCAGTGCATGGAACCATTCATCTCAGTGCATGGAACCATGCTTTTCATTGCATGGAACCATTCATCTCAGTGCATAGAACCATTCATCTCATGGAACCATGCATTTCAGTACATGGAACCATGCATCTCAGTGCATGAAACCATGCATCTCAGTGCATTGAACCATGCATCTCAGTGCATGGAACCATGCATCTCAGTGCATGGAACCATGCACTTTAGTGCATGGAACCATTCATTTCAGTGCATGGAACCATGCATCTCAGTGCATTGAACCATGCATCTTAGTGCATGGAACCATGCATCTCAGTGCATGGAACCATTCATCTCAGTGCATGGAACCATGCTTTTCATTGCATGGAATCATTCATCTCAGTGCATGGAACCTTGCATCTCGGTGCATGGAACCATTCATCTCATGGAACCATGCATTTCAGTGCATGGAACCATGCATCTCAGTGCATGGAACCATTCATCTCAGTGCATGGAACCATGCTTTTCATTGCATGGAACCATTCATCTCAGTGCATAGAACCATTCATCTCATGGAACCATGCATTTCAGTGCATGGAACCATGCATCTCAGTGCATGAAACCATGCATCTCAGTACATTGAACCATGCATCTCAGTGCATGGAACCATGCGTCTCAGTGCATGGAACCATGCATCTCAGTGCCTGGAACCATGCATCTCAGTGCATTGAACCATGCATCTTAGTACATGGAACGATGCATCTCAGTACATGCCATGCATCTCAGTGCATGGAACCATTCATCTCAGTGCAAGGAACCATGCATCTCAGTGCATGGAACCATGCATCTCAGTGCATAGAACCATGCGTTTCAGTGCATGGAACCATTCATCTCAGTGCATGGAACCATTCATCTCAGTGCATGGAACCATGCATTTTAGTGCATGGAACCATTTATCTCAGTGCATGGAACCATGCATCTCAGTTCATGGAACCATGCATCTCAGTGCATGGAACCATGCATCTCAGTGCATGGAACCATGCATCTCCGTGCATGGAACCATGCATCTCAGGGCATGGAACCATGCATCTCAGTGCATGGAACCATGCATCTCAGTGCATGGAACCATGCATCTCAGTGCAAGGAACCATGCATCTCAGTGCATGGAACCATGCATCTCAGTGCATGGAACCATGCATCTCAGTCCATGGAACCATGCATCTCAGTGCATGGAACCATGCATCTCAGAACATGGAACCATGCATCTCAGTGCGTGGAACCATTCATCTCAGTGCATGGAACCATTCATCTCAGTGCATCTCAGGTCACGGCGAGTGGGCGGCAGCTTCCGAAGGCATACGTGCGGAGCGTGACGGCGCTCATCAGCCGCCTGCGCGACGCGCTGGGTGCGAGGCTGACGTGGCGAAGGGCGCGATTTGCGCGTACCTAGGGGGGTGGCGGGGGAAATCGCCGGAGAACACAGAGGTGAGCGCAGGGGAGGGGGGAGTATGCGTTGAGAGGAGGGTTGAGCACGGGGAGAGTTGAAGGGTCGGGAAGGCTGAACGTGAGGAGGGCTGAACGTGGGGAGGGCTGAACGTGGGGAGGGCTGAACGTGGGGACGGCTGAACGTGGGGAGGGCTGAACGTGGGGAGGGCTGAACGTGGGGAGGGCTGAACGTGGGGAGGGCTGAACGTGGGGAGGGCTTAACGTGGGGAGGGCTGAACGTGGGGAGGGCTGAACGTGGGGAGGGCTGAACGTGGGGAGGGCTGAACGTGGGGAGGGCTGAACGTGGGGAGGGCTGAACGTGGGGAGGGCTGAACGTGGGGAGGGCTGAACGTGGGGAGGGCTGAACGTGGGGAGGGCTGAACGTGGGGAGGGCTGAACGTGGTGAGGGCTGAACGTGGGGAGGGATGAACGTGGGGAGGGCTGAACGTGGGGAGGGCTGAACGTGAGGAGGACTGAACGTGGGAAGGGCTGAACGTGGGGAGGGCTTAACGTGAGGAGGGCTGAACGTGGGGAGGGCTGAACGTGGGGAGGGTTGAAAACTATTTCAGATTGTATGGAGGTGAGAGCAGGGGATGGAGATGATGGAGGAGATGGGGATGATGGAGGAGATGCACTGTCAAAAGGATGGGGAGAGGTCAAAAGGAAGGCTCCGTTTAGCCTTGCCAGATCGTCTTGCCGGTATCCTCCTTGTGTACTTACCATTTCCCTCTTCTCCGGTTTTTTCCCTCTCCTCCCTTTCCTCCCTCCTCTCCTTCTCCCCACTTTCCTCTTCCCCTCCTCCCTTCCCAATCAGACCATCACCTCCTATTTAAACTCTGTTCTACGGCGCCTTCTGCTTCGTCATGCGCAGTGGAGCAAGTTCAATGCCCAGCTGCCTCTTCTTCCCTTCTAGCATTTTTCTCCATCCCCTCCTCCCCACCCCCCCTCTCCTCCTCTCTCTATCAGTCCATCGCATTCTCTCAAGTGTGTGACCTCTCAACGCTCGACTCTCCCTGTCAGAATGTTCTCCCGCTTCTATGTACACCTGTGGAGCGGATTCAGAGCCAAGCAGCCTCCTTATTTCACATTTCCTCCACACCTTCCCCCCTTTCTTCTTAAATCCGCACTCCCCTCCTCTCCTCCTTCTCCATCTTCCCTCCCCTCTCCCCCCCCTGAATCCTCCATTCTCTGGCTTCTACATGCGCAGTTTATTGCATTCAGTGCCAGGCTGCCTTTTTTCCATTTTCACATTCTCCCTGCCTTTCTCCACCCACAAACCCCATGTCCCCTCTCTTCTCCTCCCCTCCCAATCAGACCATCACCTCTTCACTCTACTCTGTGCTCAGAACGTTCTCCCACTTCTACATGCGCAGTGGAGTCAAAGCCATGTCAAGTCTCCCCTCCGTCTCATTTTCTTCCTTCCCTCTTCCCTTCCTCCCCTCCCAGATCATCTCGACTCGGTGCTCAGAACGCTCTCCCGCTTCTACATGCGCAGTGGAGTCAACGCAAAGCTCCCTGCTGACGTCAGAGACGGGATCCTTGCTGACCTGGCACTTGCAGAAGCTGCGTTGTAATTGGTAGGGGCGCTAAGCAATCTGCAGCAGCAAATGTTATCTACATAACAAGCTGCTGAATTAGGCTCAATGTTTGAAACACAGCTGAGGCAGTTATACAGAATCCCTTCTAATATGTTGTTGGCTCGACTTTTCTTGATAAAAGTTTTTGCACGACACTAGAACGGGGATGCATATTGGTAACCCGTGCTTCGATAACATACGCATTGAACCATGCTTTGACAACTTCCTATTTAGGCAAATGGAATTCATTTTGTCACGAAATGATTCCTCGATTGCGTTTGGCTTTCCCTCAGTATTGTGTTTGATGTTTGTGCAATGCTGGAAAGAACGAGTGTGGGTTGCACTATCGAGGTCAAGACTAACTAAGCATCATCAGGCAGGGGGGTTGAAAATAAATTATCCATTGGCGGGGTCGAGGCGTGTCGCTCGGGCGCGCAAATCAGAACGCTGGCCTGGTTGGGCCACGTGGTCTCCTCGGCACTAAACCCGCACTTTCCCGCCAGCCGCTAGCCTCATCACCAATAACAGCTGCTTTTGCATGTTCGACCTGCTGAGTCAGATTGGGCCCCGACCGTCAACACACGACCCGAACCGAACCGAACCAGACCCCGTTCGACAAATAGACAGACATGATGTCCATCTAGCCCCATAGAACCTCACTGAAATGCACAGAAACTCTTGGTTCTGCACAAAGCCGATCTGTCTCTGAATGAGTCATAGTGAATGCTTTCTGCTCAATGTTGCTAATGGAAGCGATTCAGTGAAACCGAATATCATCGTCATTCCTAGCGGCATTGAAAGCTGAACGCTGAAACGCTTCCATCAGCGTCATTGTGTGAAGCCCACAAATACATACACGGAGTCTAGAGCAGACGTCTTCATTGCCAGAACGTTAGACCAGCAACTAGTTAAAAGTGTGTATTAGTCTTGGTTGGTCCTTCGCGGGATGGCGTCCTCAGCGTTGTCGTCTCGTATTAAGAAATCGTCTTGCGTGTCGCTCGATCAGCTGCCGGACGACCTCCTATGTGCTGTCCTTCGCCAGCTGGACAAGTATTTGACTAGCACCTTTAACCACGCGTTGGTCTCGAAGCGATGGTATCGCATTGCTTGCCTCGCGCGGACGTCAATCTCCGGCAGCCGATTTCAAGCGTCGATTTTATCCAATCTCTTGTGAAGTTCAAGAATCTGACGTCCGTAACCATTAGAGGATCCGATTTCAATGAAGTCGATTATGTTCTCCTGGCTGGTCTTGGTTTCATCTGTCCCAAGCTGACGCAACTTGAACTCTATGGTGGAAGCTACGATCGTTCTCGTGTAACGACGAGTACGGGACTGGATGCACTGTTCACCGGTTGCACGGCGTTGCAAACCCTTGTCGTTGACATTCCTGACAAGATCGAACGAATGCCGTCATCTTTCTTCGGCTTGTCTCCCTTAACGGACGTTAATCTCAATCTACGCCTGAGGGAGTTTCCAGACGAGTTCGGTGGGCTGAAATCTCTTACGAAACTAAAGCTGGAGAATTTTCTTATCGAAGAACTACCCGAGTCTTTTGGCCAGCTCACCGCCTTGACCGAGCTAGATATCTCCGAGTGCATACTGCTGTACGGTCTGCCGGATTCCTTCGGCAATCTTTCCTCCTTAAAGAAACTTACCGTTTACTATGCAAGGTCGTTGGAGGTTCTTCCTGATACCCTCGGCCAGCTTCAGAATCTCCAAGAAGTTATTCTCAATTGCAACGAATCCCTCTTACAGCTCCCACATTCTTTCTACAACCTTCCTTCTCTCAAGGTTCTCACGCTGTGGATGTTGGATGATCTCAAGGAGCTTGATAGCGAAGTGTCCAATCTCGTGTCTCTTGAAGAGCTCAGTATCGACATGTGCTGCCGGTTCTCTTCGCTTCCTGCATCCCTCTGCACGCTCCCCAAGCTTCGTTCCATGGGAATCTCCGGCTGCAAGCTTCTCACTCACCTACCGCAAAGCATCGGCGATTTAACCTCACTGGAATATCTAGCGTTATGCAAGCTCAGAAACTTGAAGCGTCTGCCAGCAACGATTTCCGAGCTATCCAATCTTCACCCTGCAGCATTGCAACAGCATCTCCAACATCCCTGCATCACTTCTACAGAGATCTAAGAGACTGCAAGAGCTCAGGTTTCAGTGGCCATCCTGTTGTGCGGGAAGCCAGCAGGCTGGCAAAGTATCCTCTGGTGAAGCTGCTTTCATGTCTTCAATCTGCAACTTATCCCACCTTAAATTTGTCAATCTCTCTGGCTTTCCCCGCCTCAGTACTCTTCCCCAGGAATTCGGGGATCTCGTGCAGCTGGGCCGGATGATACTTTCTTCCTAGCCCAGCTTGTCAAGGTTTCCGGAGTCTATGTCCAAGCTGACCAAGCTATCGGAAATTGTAGTGGCTGCATGCCTAACTTTTAAAAAATCTGCTGCTGCCGTTCCTGGACTTCCGAATCTGAGAATTGATGTGACAAGCGATGACTGGGATTGGGACAAGGATGAAGAGGACGAGGATGAAGAGGAGGAGGATGAAGAGGAGGATGAAGATGAAAAGGATGAAGAGGAAGAGGATGAAGAGGAGGAGGAGGAGGATGATGATGAAGAGGGCGAGGACGAAGAGGATGAGGTTGAAGAGGACGAGGATGATTTAGGAAGATACCGCAGTTTGTTGATGCAGAGGAGGTGGAAGCTTAGTGCGCCTCCTTGCATACCGTATATGTTTCTTCAGTGATATGACTTGATTCAGACTGATGTAGTAGCTATTATGCAGTGATGCTACAAAATATTAATGCTGCATACCTATTGCTTCTGAAATCAAGAGGGTGGGGGGAGGATCTGGTTGGGTGTGTTGGGGGTTTGATAAATCAGTGTGGCAAAAAATCAAATAGGAGGCTCTGGAACTGACAATATCTTTCAGTAAAAAATGAAGATATATACGGTACGTAGTCAAGGGTGATGTCTGATCACAATCTGTATGCTGCTCTCTCATCAGTGTGGTTCAACTCAACACTTCCGCATAAAAACATAAGGTAGAGTACAGATTGCTCCGCCCCACCCTCATTAATGGTGAAACTTCTAACCTGACCCTACACATACCGTATCACCCCAGATATAAGCGAATGCCTAAGATAAGCGCATGCGCTTGTATCTGGAGCAATGCGCTTATGGCCGATCCTCAATTATAAGCGAAGCCCTCCAGAATTCTTTACTGATTATAAGCACACCCTTCTACAGTTCTGATGGCTTTAACATTGATTTACTGCTTTACAATTTCACTATAGGCCCTGACAGGGCTTTCAAACTAACTCCACTAATATTTCACTACGCACATTTTTCTACAAGTTTAGCCATCTAGAGGCAGGATCTTTTACCTAATGTAGCCTAAGGGAGGTCACTCCTCCTCATCCGACTCAGGCTCCTGGCAGCTGTTGCCCCAGAAGCCATCAGCCTGGATCTCGTCATCTACATCAACTTCGTGCGTCAGCTGGCCTCTCCGGTGCGCCATCGCCAGCTTATCCTCGCTGCCGTCCAGTGCGTTGCTAATGCCGCACGTCAAAAAGGCCTTCTTGATCAGCTCTGCAGGCACGGCCCTCCAGGCCTTGGAAACCCACTTGAGAAGGACCGCCGGAGGCGGTTTCTTGATGTTGCCTGCAAGACAATTAAACAGAAGAAGATAAGATGTCATAACCGTGCGACGGGGTAAACATTAGAAGTACTGACTCGCGAAAACACTGTGATGCTCGCCTGCTGCGGTGAGTTCGTTCATGCCCTCTTGCTCGAACCAATTCTGGTACTGCTGCCGCACCGACACCTTGAAGCTTTTGTTGATGGCCACATCGAGCGGCTGCACCTCTGTCGTGCATCCCGCCGGGATGACCGCGGGGACGATGTTGTACTCCGCGAACTTCTTCTTGACTTCCTTCGTCAGGTGACCTCGGAAGGAGTCGAGGACGAGCAGAGCGCTTGGCCCCTGCACGCCAAAGAGAGGGTGGGGGAGGGGAGTCGAGGGCTTGATGAAAGGCGCTACCGCCTTGTCGAGCCACTCGATGACGTTCTCCGCCGCCATCCATCCGTTCTCTTGAACCCCGACCACGACATCTGCGAAACAAAAACACGGTGGTTAGTGGGGCAGCCGGAAACACTAAACGCACACACACCACATCTACGTCCTTACCGTTCGGGAAGTCGCCCTTTGGCACGGTCTTGCGCTTGAAAAACACCTACGGCTTTAGCTTCTTTCCCGTTGCCGTGCACGCCAGCATCACGGTGACGCGTTCTTTCTGGTACCCGCCGCTGCGGATGGGCACCGACTTCACGCCCGTCTGCTCCACTGTGGTTGTCGCCGGCATCTCCAGCCACAGTGGTGTCTGGTCGGCGTTGATTATGTAGCGGCTGTCGATCTCATAGTCATGCCGTGCTTCCCGAACAAACGTCCAGAACTCCTTGCACTGTTTCGCGACGTCTGCGCAAGAGGATCAATAGACAAGGCAGAAGGGCAGATTAGTTACTGCAGCTCACAAACAGGGAACGCAAACACAACATGAACACCGAACACCGAACGAATTCCATGAAGACGGTGCATGGCACTTACGTTTCTGTGTTTTCTGCGCCACCTTGGTTTTCATTTGCACGGTTAGATTCCAGCGCTTGCGGAAGCGTTCGGACCATCGCTGGCTGCCTTTCCACTTTACTTCCGGGAAGAGGACTTTCATCACCTTGTGCGACCACTCTTGGAGCCGGCCCACCGAAACAGCAAGACCACGTCGCCGCCAGTCGATGAGCTGCGCGTAGATCTTCATCTCCATCGGACGGTACCAAGAGGATCGCCCGCGTCCATGCAGTCGCTTCCGTGCGCTGTGGGCGTCCTTCAGCTCCTGCGCCTGCTGCCTCCACTTGGTCAAGCACTTGCGGTGGATGCCGGACTCCCGCGCCACCTCGCTAATCGATGCTGCAAGCTCCAAGCGCAATAGCCACATCAGCTTCTCCTGGGCGGTGTACGAGGCACGCTTATGTTGTGTCTGTTTATGCCTGGGGGAGGGGGGGCATGCATCTCGGTTCACAACAGAGGGGTGGGGACGTTTTCTGTTAATAGGAGGATATGTAGGAATCGGCATCTTCTCGCGCGGGGCATCGCGCCACCAAGTCTCAACCCCGTCGTCGTCCGCAGCGATAGGAAGACGTCCGCCTCCGTGCCGGCCTCGCCACCCGTTTCACCGTCGCCACCAGGTTCGTCGGCGGGTACATCGTCGTCGGCGGGTACATCGTCGTCGGCTCCCACAGTCGACTCGTCCCACGCGCAGTCGTTGGGCTGTCTCCAACGAGGTGCCGGCGGCGATGCTTCAACAGCCACATCGGTGGGTTGGTCGGCCTCCGGCTCAGACAGCCACTCGTCGAACGTCGCTGGTAGCAAGAGCTGGAGCACGGGTCGTTTTCCTGCATATGGAGAACCGGTACTCGTAAAAGGAGCGGGCGGATTCGGAGGAGCAGGAGGGGCTGGAGGAGCAGGTGGGGCAGGTGGAGCAGGAGGAGCAGGGGGAGCAGGCAGCGATGGAGCCACGGGTGGGTAAGGAGGGTCAGGAGGTTCACGGGTATACCACCCGTCGTCGGTTAATCGCCACGCGTGTCTCGGTTTCTTCTTAAAAAAGGAAGTGGGTCCATGAGAATTCCGCTATGGCTTCGCCAGCCAGGCGGGCTAGTGCAAGAAACTGAATGAAAAAACAGGAGGGGTTGCAGAAATGGGAAACGGAGGGGACCCCTGCTGAGTTTGCAGCTCAGGTTCCTTGTCAGGTGCAGGAGGGAAATCCCCGCCTGAACCCGCAGAGGACCCTGCGTGGCAGCATAATCGCTGCGCTGGCAGGGAATTTTCCGCATGCCATGCTGCGCAGCTCGATGTGATTGGGCCGCACGGCAAGATTTGCGTCATCGCTGGCAGGTGCGATGCTTCTAGACGAAAGTGTGGGGTGGGAAACCGAGGCGCGTTGCTGTTTTCGCCTCGAATTCATGCACGACCCCACGTGATGCATGGTCGGCTACATTCGCCTTACAGTGGGCTTCAATTTGGTATAACTCAAAGTCAATTTCATTTTTTACTTATTATAACCGCATGCGCTTATGCCCGTTTCTCATTTATAAGAGCACCCCCCAAAAAATCAATGTTTTATTATAAGCGCACCGGTGAAACGGTACCATACAACAACTACAATACACAAAACACATCACAAATAGGCATCGCATCAGCTATCAATGGCACTATCCATTGCACAATACAAGCACGGTTGCTCCACCTGCATGCGACATACCCAGGTTCTTCAACCCTTTTTTTTTCTCCCCGCTCGCCATGCCCGCCAGCTGGCGCACACCCATTGGCGCGATCGATCACTTGCTGCCCACAAAAATGCTCTGGGCCAGCACAAGCCCGAGGGATGCAGGAGGTTTTAGAAGATGCTGCCCTGGGGACGCCTGCACATTGCAGGAGTTTCCCGGTAACCATCTACTGTCTTGAGGTGCCTCAAACTCGGTACCAGAAGATGCTACCGCGCGGACGGCAGCACGTTGTGGGAGTTACCTGGTAACCACCCACTGTCGGTGGTGCCGCTCTGCACACTGTTTCTTGGTTAAAGAATGCTGAGTATGAAAGGGAGGTTGGCCGTCGCCGCACGCATTGGTATCGAGACGATCTACCTACAGATGAAGGTGGTCGGTGGAGGGAGGGGTGATGAATGGAGGGCATGGAAGGGGTACGGGGTAAATAGAAAGACGAGGGGTTGCGGAATGGAAAAGGGGATAGGGGAGAGAGATGAATACAGGATGCAGAGAGGTGAGGCGGGTATGATGTGGATGATACCACACTGTAGCAGAAGGCCGTTGATTGGAGGTGGGTCGTCACAGCATGCACTGGTGTCTAAGGAACTGCAGGTGAAGAGCGGGGAGGGAGGGGGATGGGGGAAAGTGGGGAAGCATGGGGAGAGGATGATAGGAAGGGCCGCCGCAGCATGCATGCATTAGTTTCAAACAGACCTGTGGATGGATGGGGGATGGGGGGAGAGTGGGGGAAAGCAGGCGGGGAAGTGGGCGGGGAAGCAGGGAGGTGAGGATGATAGGATGGGCTCGCAGCATGCATGGGCTTCGAAAAGGTGAAGAGTAGAGGGAAGGGGAATTGGGGGGATGTGGGGAAGAAGGGGGGGGTGAAGCAGGGGGGTGGGGATTGGAGTACGAACGGCCATCGCATCAACATTGGTTCGGATCGGAACCGGTTGCAGATTGGTAGAGCAGCAGGGAAAGGGGGGTTGAAGAGAGGAGGGCTGGGACGGCGAGAGGTAAGGGGAGTGAGGAGAAAACGAGGACCTGTCAGATGGTTATCATGTTGGCGAAGGGGGGACTTGATGCAGATGGTGCTGAGAATCTCCAAAAGCAACTCCAATATAGGGATGGGGAGGAATGAGAAAAGGGTCTGTCAGATAGCTATCATGTTGGCGAAGGGGGGACCTGATGCAGATGAGGGGGACATGATGGAGATTAGGGGGACGTGATGCAGATGGTTTCGAGAATTCTAAAAAGCAGCTCCAATATAGGGACGGGTAGAAACAGAGGTCTTGTCAGATGGCTATCATGTTGGCGAAGGGGGAACATGATGCAGATGGAGGGGACATGATGGCCAGGAATGCGTAGCAGCAGTCCCCAGAGAAGAACACATGGCCGCCGACAACTTCCGAGCCTTTGAGGGTCTTCCACAGCCCAGCAGCAGCAGGCAGCAGGCAAGGCAGCAGGTAGCAGGCAGCAGGCAAGGCAGCAGGTAGCAGGCAGCAGGCAAGGCAGCAGGCAAAGCAGCAGGTAGCAGGCAGCAAAAAGCTGCATATTCTTGTGCTTCTGGCCATACCCATCGATCATGCTGACGCTCACCCCCTGCTTTCCTGCCGGCCGGCTGCAGTGCCTGCCACCACAGCAACAGGCAGTCGAGAAAGGGGGCTCCAATCGGCAGGAACCGCCACGTTTTGAGTCGACTCTGAACTCGCTCACACGCCCCCTTCACTTCAACCCCCCTCTTCCCTCACCTTTGCTGGTCTGCCGGCTGCAGCGCCTTCCACGCCACCGCAGCAGGCAGCCAAACGAGAAAAGAGGGGGTTTGCAAATAGAAAAAAGCGCGGTGCTTTCACTCCACTCTAAAATCGCTCACACCCTCCCTCCCCCTCCTTCTCTCCTTCCTTGATTCTCTGCTTCTCTGCCGGCTGTAGCGCCTTCCACGCCACCGCAGCAGGCAGCCAAACGGGGTAAGGGAGGGGGGCTGGGAACAGAGAGAAGCACCACGTTTTTATCGAATCTAAACTTGCTCACACGCCCCCTTCAATTCACCCCCCTCTCCCCCCCCTTGCTGGTGCGCCGATTGCAGCGCCGCATGTGCAGCAGGCAGCCAAACGGGGGAAGGGGGGGCCTGCGAACAGCGAGAAGCGCCGCGCTTTCAGTCGACTCTAAACTCGCTCACACCCCCCTTCCTGCTTCTCTGCCGGCTGCAGCGCCTTCTAAACCAAAACGGCAAGCAGCCAAAAAAGAGGAGTCCCAACAGCACGAGCCACCTTCACTTGGGCGTCAGAACTGGAATACACAAACAAAGCCTCCACGTAGGTTCGATTCAACCCAAGCACCACAGCCGAAGCAAACACCTGCACTCAGCTTCACTTCCCATCCTCTTTTGAGGCGCCTAAAAAGTAGATGCTTCAACCCAAGCACCACAGCCGAAGCAAATGACTGCACTTGGCTTCACTCCCCATCCTCCGGCGGGGAGCCTCGAGAGAGAGTTTCATCTTGGCGTTTTTCTTCTTGAATATAACATTAATCTGGGACAAAGTACTTGTTTGTGTCGAAGCCGAGCCGGCTGTGGTGGAGAAGGTGGGCGGGACAGACATGCAAGCAGGCTGGTGTCGGTACCGGCTGTGGCCTGTGCCTGTACCGACACCAATGCAGGCTGGTGGGTCAAACGAGTCAAACCTCTGCCTTTGCATCGGCCTGTATTTGGTCAAATCAAACCACGGGAGCTGCTTGAATACTAGGAGGCGGGGAAAGCGAGGAGGAGGTTCTGTTGGGAGGGAAGAGCACACGGAGGGAGGGAAGCAGGGAAAAGAGAGCGAGAGAACAGAGAGGGGAGTTGGGATAAGGAGAAAGAAAACAAGGTCCTGAACCAGTCCTGACCGTAAGAAACCATCCAATCCAGCGTTTCGAAACATACGCTATGAACCCGCACCCCTCGAACCTGCAAATCCGAACCTACCAAAGGTCCGGGTCCTCCAGGCGAGCATGCCAGCCAGCTGTCACGTCCACAGAGGTTGAAACCCTTGATCTGCCATGATGACACCTGGCATTTCAAAACTCCAGGGCGGAATGGAGGGGGGAGCGGAATAGGGTTTGCGGTTTTAGAGTTCACAGAAGCATGAATAATCTAATATGAGGAACTGAGGACACGACGGTTAGGAATTTAATCACCGTATTTCATCATCCCAGGCCGATCAGTATTCATTTGGGGGATAACGAATGGCTTTGTATCAGGGATAGAATTGGCTTGGTTGTTTTGGTGTACCTACCGAAGCTGATCAACCCATCAAGTTCTACCCCACCCGCATCCAACTCCTCGCATGACACTCACAAGACATCGTAACAGATCACGAATCGCATTATAGCGGGGATACGGCTACACCTTTTACCTACACGGCCGGTCGATCTGGAAGGAGATGGAGTTGCGAGTGGCGGCGGGGCCAGCAGACTCGCCTGTAGCGCCTCTTATTCCTCTTCGACTTGATAATAAGTAAGAACAACATAGCTACCCGGTCGATCTCGAAGAGAAATGGACTCGCGGGCCACGGCGGGGCCCAGCAGACTCGCACGCACCGCCTCCCACTCCTTCCAGAACGCGATGGCATGTGGCGCAGCGCCAGATACATTATTCTACCGTGTCACGACAATGCGATTGTAAAGGAATCCCGCTTTAACAAATGCTGTTGTTGTGTAATGATCTGCTTTGGGAATCGCGATGCTGGTAGCGGGTGGCCGCAGGTAATCTAATCGAATCTGCTAAGAACTTCTGAGCCACATGAACTAGTACCAGGAAAAACGGTAGAAGCAGGGATGGTAACATATTGCAGGGAAATCGTGCTTCTCGTGGCATTCCATCTCCTAAAAAGCTGGTACCTCGCAAACGAGAGTTTGCGACGTTTTTTTTTGCGAGCTGACGAATACTTTCTAGGACATAGCGAGAGGTCGCGAAGTAGGCAACCCCTGTTCAAGTTTCGTTTGTGACGCGCCCTAGGCAAGGGGGGTCTAGGCAAGGCGACTTTGGAGGAATGTCGGGGAACCCAGATAACAACAACCCGCGTTTCATATTAGGCTCACTCACCGCGCTGCATCAATCTGTTGCGCTAGTGAACCGCACTCGACCTTTGCAAATCTCTTCACATTCAAATCTTGCTGAATTCGTCAATTCTGTCGTGCCCTGTCCAACCCCCATTCGCTCCAACAAACCACTATGGGTATCCTCACCTCTACTCATCCAAACCAATCCAGCCCAACCGAACCAAACTAACTCAACACAACCCATAGCTGCAAGCAAACCCTACTCCAACCACCAGCCGTCCCTCAGTATTGGTGTCTCTCGGTAGTGGCGCCTCTAGGTAGTTAGTGGTGCCTGCGGTGCATCTTGGTAAGGGCGAATGACTGCCAGCCAAGCCACGACCGCATGTTGCTCGCGGTGCCGTCGCGTGCATCCCATTCGTCCATACTGCTGCTGTAGCAGCAGCCGTTCATAGCCTTGTTTTGTCCTATCACTCACCTCAATTCCATATAGCGCACGCGCATTGCTCTCATTTACGAACCAACAGTGAGTGAGTCAGTATGTTGTGTGGACGGCAGTCGGCGCGATATCGCATAGCACGTGCTGTGGGTGACTTCCGACGTGGCAACTGCCACGTCAAACACTCATTGGGCGAATGCATGCCGAGCACTCACCTCCAGGACAAGTCACCGCCATCTTATCTTGAAGACTCAGTGGTATACCTTGCTGGAAACCCATTTCAAGTTTCAATCTGACCTAGTAGTAGGCTTCGGTTCCCGCGGAAACAAATTTCGGAACATAGACTCGTAGTCGCAGTCACGCGCCTATTCACACATGGCGGACGTATATTACCCTCGAGTTGCGCGTTCCCTCGTCGTTCCTCACTACGCGCTGCGCGCTCACGTTAGTACCACAGCGTGCCTCCTCCTGCTATTCCTCTACTGCTCACCGACGCTAGCTTTCCGGCCCATATCGAGGCAGATTGTATCGAAGCTGCCTGCTGCTCGCCGCAGATCCTCCGCGCGGATGGTTCCGCCTCGCGTGGCGCAATTTCTCGCAGCGCGGCGGGCGGAGAGAGCATCCGCGGGGGGACGCAGAGGCGGGTACAGCCGGTCAGCGAGTTCAGGGTTGTGCTCATCCTCCGCAGCCGCGCCGCAGGCTTCGGCGGCTGACACGGCGGCTCTCAGGGCGATCTTCACGGCCGCGCTGCTACCTATCCTGGCGAACAACCCGAACGCGTGCACATGGCCCGGCGTAGATTGCGCCGTGAACGGCGGTGCTGTTCAGCAGATAAACCTCAGCGGCGACGTCGACCCTTTCGTGCCGCGCCTCTCCCCACGCACGCCTCGCCTTTGCAACCGTACTGCGCGCGAACCCGGCGGAAAGTTCCCCGCAAGCCTTTCCGATTCGATCGGCCAGTTAACAGGTCTCACCGATCTCCGTCTGGCGGATCTCTGGCTAGCTGGCTCTGTCCCGCAATCGTTCTCCCGTCTTACACAAATGGAGCACCTCGATCTTAGCGATAACTGCTTCGCTGGCCCTCTTCCTGTCGCCTTTTTTCGCATGCCGCGGCTTGCCGATGTGTCCGCCTCCCAAAATTTCTTCACCGGCGGGTTACCACAAGGTCCTGCTGCGTCGACTTCGATATGGAAACTGAATTTCGGGAATAATAGGCTGTCCGGGCCGATCCCTGCTGCCCTCGCGACGCTGCCAAACCTGGAAACGATATCTCTGTACTCGAATCGCCTAACGGGGAATATACCCCCTCCTCTGCTGAAAAAGAAATCGCTTGAGATCGTTTTTGACCGGAACCGGCTTTCAGACGACCTGAGCGGGCAGCAAATAGGTTTCAGTCGTATATTTTTCGCGTCAGCGGGAACAGGCTTTCTGGAAACTTCAACTCGATCCAGTTCAGCCAAGTGGCCTACATCGACGTTTCCGACAATTTGTTTTCGGGCTCATTCCCCAAGGTTTTGTGCGTTTCCGACAATTTCTCGGGCAGCTTGCAGCCGTTTTCAAACCTGCCCAAGCATACCGCTGCTCTGGACCTCGGATTCAACAAGTTCTCAGGGAGCATTCCCCAAAACCTCACCCGTATCGGGCTTCAATACTTGGACCTCAGGGAAAACGGTCTGACAAGTGAGCTGACTGGCAAACTGCAGATCAACACCGGTATGTGAAACTTCTTCCGGAACAATGAACAGTGAATTCAGAAGTGTGTCCTTGTGTTGGGACCAACCAACCGCTCATAACCACTCAGTTGTTTCCTTCTGTTGAGTTTACTATTCACTCCACTTATCCACTCTTCTCATTCTGCTTTCCCTGCCCCCTCCCTCAGTCCCCATCAGTTAACTTCCTCCTACGCTACCTCCCCTTTCCCCCACCCCTCAGGCGCCATCCCCGCCTCCTGCCAGGGCGATCAAGCCCTCACCTTCCTCACTTACTCACTACTCTTTCTTCCTACTTTCCTGTCTCTCCCCTCCCTTCTCCTCGTCCCTCGCCCCATCATCCCCCTTAGGCACCATTCCCGCCTCCTGCCAGGGCGAGCAAGCACTCACTTACCTCAATCTCGCTTCCAACGCCCTCTCCGGCCAACCTACCCCTCTCTCCCACCCCCTTCCTCTTTCACGGCCCTCTCTCCTGTCCCACTTCCTGCTCCCCTAAAATTTGTCTCTCCTGTTTCCCTCACAGCTCCATCCCTGTGTTTCCCCCTACCTCCCATCCTACACTCCTCAGGCCCGATCCCCGCCTTTTGCCAGGGCGAGCAAGCCCTCACCTACCTCAACCTCGCCTCCAACACTTTCTCCGGCCTGCCCACCCCGCTCTCCTCCCCCTCGTGCTCCGCCTCCCTCGCCTATCTCCACCTCTCCTCCAACCGCCTCTCCGGCTCCATCCCCGCTACAATCAGCTCCTTTACCAAACTCTCGCGCCTCCGCCTCGATAAAAACACACTCACGGGTGCGATCCCAGCTGGTGTGAGCAGTATGAAGCAGCTGCTAGGACTAGGCTTGGCATACAACAACCTGACAGGTTCCCTTCCCGCGGTTTGGCCAGCAGGCATACGGCAAGTGCTGCTGGCGGGAATCAGCTGTCAGGGGCTGTTCCTGCTGCTCTGAGCAAGCTGAAGCGAGGCTCATTCGAACCAGGGAACGACAATTTGTGTGGGACACCGTTGCCTGCTTGTGCTTAGAGCCATATCGATGGGACACTGGCAGGGAACCGACTTTTAAGGGCTGTTCTTTCCGCTCTGAGCAAGCTAAAGAGAGGCTCGTTCAAATTAGGTAACGTCAAATTTGTGTGGGCGGAAGGAGGGAGGGGGGTGGGGGTGAGCAAACCAACAGCCGAAACAAGTTCGCCAGATTAGAACTTGACCCGCATGATGGTTTGTAGACCAAAACCATGCCGACCATGTTTGCCTGTTTGCTCAGTCGATAGACCCCTAGTGATTCCGGAGATTATACTCGCCACGAAATGAAACCTGCTTCCTCTACCTTCACCTCGATCGCAATAGCGATTTAGGCCGCGTCGATCGCGGATTACCAGCGCAGTCAAACACACCGTCGCGTTCTGCCCTGTACTCGTCGCGCGATATCAAAACGCCGCCTCGCCTAACAGTGGTTCACCTCCTCGCCTAAGATCTGTTCGCCTCGTCGCCTTAGATCAGCTGGTCTCGTCGCCGGATATCTGCTCGCCACATGGGCCGCGTTTCGTAAACGAATGGTCCGACGACTTCAACGGTCACCATGCCGCTAGATGGCATGTTTTACTCGAGGATCCATTAGTATTGAGCAGTGAGAATAGCTTGTTGCGAGAAGCGTGATATTAGAGAGTGATGAGCCACTCGCAAGAAGTAAAGACAACATTTCATGCCGCGAGGTGGTGCATGGCGTAGAAACGTAATTGCGTATTGGAAGGCACTCTCACAGCGCACCAGCGTTCTAGCACTTCCGCAGGCAAATCCCCGTCGCGCTGCATTCCCGCTTCCCCGTCGCGCTGCATTCCCGCTTCCCCGTCGCGCTGCACTCCCGCTTCCCCGTCGCGCTGCATTCCCGCTTCCCCGTCACGCTGCATTCCCGCTTCCCCGTCGCACTGCGTCCCTGCTTCCCCGTCGCGCTGCGTCCCTGCTTCCCCTCGCGAATTTGTCCCTGCTTCGCCTCGCGTTGCATTCCCGCTTCCCCTCGCGCTGCTTTCCCGCTTCCCCTCGCGCTGCTCTCCCGCTTCCCCTCGCGCTGCTTTCCCGCTTCCCCTCGCGCTGCTTTCCCACTTCCCCTCGCGCTGCATCCCCGCTTCTCCTCGCGCTGCATCCCCGCTTCCCCTCGCGCTGCATCCACGCTTCCCCTCGCGCTGCATCCACGCTTCCCCTCGCGCCTCTTCCCTGCTTCCCCTCGCGCCGCTTTTCCCATTCCGTACACGCTGGTTTTCCTCATTCCCTACTGGCGGCTTTCCCCTTTCCCTTCGCCCTGCCTCCCCCCGTCCTATACACACCTTTCCCCTTTCCCTACCCGCTGGTTCCCCTTTTGCCGTCTCTCTGTTCCACTACTCCCATCCCTCCCATTGCCAATAACCACCAGCATCGACAAAAGCGGGGGTGGTAGACAGAAACGTAGCGCCTTGGGGAGAGGGGATGAGGAGCGAGAAGGCTGGGGTGGGGGGAGGGAAGGAGAGGGAATAAGCAGCGAGAAGGGGGCGAAAGGGCGAGGGGGGGCGGGGAGGAGGACGGGGAGGGAGGGGGGTGGGTAGGCATTCTCAACTGTCCAATTTTCCCCCCTGCTCACTCTTTATTTCCCCCCTGCTTGCCTATTTTTTCCCCCTGCTCCCTGTTCCCTCCCTGTCCTCTCTTCCCTCCCTGTTCCCTCCCTGTCCTCTCTTCCCTCCCTGTTCCCTCCCTGACCTCTCTTCCCTCCCTGTTCCCCCCCTGTCCTCTCTTCCCTCCCTGTTCCCCCCCTGTCCTCTCTTCCCTCCCTGTTCCCTCCCTGTCCTCTCTTCCCTCCCTGTTCCCTCCCTGTCCTCTCTTCCCTCCCTGTTCCCCCCCTGTCCTCTCTTCCCTCCCTGTTCCCCCCCTGTCCTCTCTTCCCTCCCTGTTCCCTCCCTGTACTCTCTTCCCTCCCTGTTCCCTCCCTGTCCTCTCTTCCCTCCCTGTTCCCCCCCTGTCCTCTCTTCCCTCCCTGTTCCCCCCCTGTCCTCTCTGCCCTCCCTGTTCCCTCCCTGTCCTCTCTTCCCTCCCTGTTCCCTCCCTGTCCTCTCTTCCCTCCCTGTTCCCCCCCTGTCCTTTCTTCCCTCCCTGTTCCCTCCCTGTCCTCTCTTCCCTCCCTGTCCTCTCTTCCCCCTCTTTTTTCTCTTCCCTCCCTGCCCTCTCTCCCTTTTCTGCGTCCTCGCCTCCTCGCCACTTCGTCTTCCCGCCTCGCAGTCCACTAGCGGCAGGCTGACGCCTACTCATCTCATAGCACTGCAGCATAAAGGTTCCTAGTTTGTCATTAGTTTTGGCATTGTATGTGAATGCATGTACTGTTACCGTAAGTCTTCCCTTCTACCATCTCCCTTCTATGGTGCAGCTCGTGATGCATGAAGCAACCAAGCAGACAAGATAGTTAGATTTAGGATAGTGCGGTGTGGGTCCTTGCTGTATCATAACCTCGAATAGTAAGGATATCAGCTAATGCCCAATCAATATGAGGTTTTATACATCCAGTAGTGTGTGGCTGTGGAGAACAATAATGTGTGGGCACTTGTAATTGGCTTGCATTGCAGCACTAGTGGCTGTGGAGAACAATAATGGATGGGCACTTGTAATGGTCTTCTTTTGCAGCACTAGTGGCTGTGGAGAACAATAATGTCCTATACGGTGAATAGTAACTCGTGGTACAATCCCCCTTCCACCACTCATACTGTCGCTTCAGCACACATGTAGGCTAATGTAGCTCCTGCGGAGTGGTGAGGGCCCATGCTGTGCTCGTGCTCCTGCAGTCCACCCAGCTGCAGCAGCAACACAGAGGCCCAAGCAGGTAGGAAGCAGGGGCGGATGAGCAGCACGTGTGGAGGCAGGGCGAGTGGAGAGCCCACGCTTGTCTGCATCCCCGCCCATGCCCTAAACCCTGCATGGCGGCCCGCTGCCATACTGCCGCCTACACGGCACACTTAGCCTGGCACGCAGGGAAAGAGGAGAGCGGCAGCAAGGTGAAAGGAAAGAAGCTCCGCAGCTCTGCCAGCTGCAGCAGGGGGAAAGGAGGAGAGGCAAAGAAAGAAAGGGAGAAAAAGGGCACCAGGAGGGAGAAAGAAGGGGAAACAGAAGGGGGAGTGAGGGAGAGAGTTGGGGGGGGGATGAGGCAGATGGGGAAGTCAGGTGTGCTAGGAATGGGCAGAGGAGAAGAAGATTGGAGGGATGAGGAGGAATGTGCGGGTTCGTGTGAGCGTGGTTGAGTGCGAGATGCACTTCCCTCCCTCAACCCGCACCCGCCACGCCTCTGCCTCTCGCACCCACGCTGCTGCCACGTGACTCCTGCCACTTACTCACCACTACCGTAGGGCGGAGAGGAAGAGTTTCGGAGGGATGAGGAAAGGCGCTGGAGCATGAATGGGCGCATCTCGTGCACCTCGTCAAACGCGCAGCTGGCGGTTCCGTGTCGGTCACGAGGCTGCAGGCGCGGGTGGCGGTCGGGCGGAGAGGGGAAAACAAAAAATGGGGAAATGGGGTAGAAAACGAAGAAATGAGGGGAAGAGGGATGGGAATGAGGGGTTTGGAGGGGGGAAATGGGGGGAAGGAGGGGGGGACATGAGGGAAAGAGGGGGGAGAGGGAAATGAGGAGGCAGGAAGACGGGTGAGAGGGAATGTTGGAGAGGGATGGGGAGGCAGAGGGAAAGATGGGGAGGCAAAGGGGGAGATGGGGAGGCAAGGGGGGAGTTGGTTCGGCAAGGGGAGAGATGGGGAGGCAGGGGAGAGATGGGGAGGCAGGGGAGAGATGGGGAGGCAAGGGAGAGATGGGGAGGCAGGGGAGAGGAGAGGGATGGGAAGGGAATGGCGGTTGAAGCAGAAGCACCAATCACTCATCCTCCTCAAGCAGAAGTACGGGAATGGGGGAAGGGACCGGAGGAAGTGCGAAGGTACGCTGGGGAGGAGAGTCAGTGGAGATGTGACCTGGGGGGAAAGGGAGGAGCGATCTGCGGGAAAAGGGAGGTGCGACCTGGGGGAAAAGGGAGGTGCGACCTGGGGGAAAAGGGAGGTGCGACCTGGGGGAAAAGGGAGGCGCGACCTGGGGGAAAAGGGAGGTGCGACCTGGGGGGAAAGGGAGGCACTACCTGGGGGAAAAGGGAGGTGCGACTTGGGGGAAAAGGGAGGTGCGACCTGGGGGGAAAGGGAGGTGCGACCTCGGGGAAAAGGGAGGTGCGATCTGGGGGGAAAGGGAGGTGCGAACTGGGGGTAAGGGGATATGCGACCTAAGGTGGCGAGGCGGGAAGGAAGGAGGCGAGATGGCAAAGAGTTTCGAGGAGTCAGGGAGGTGATGATGAGGCGAGGTGGCGGCGACGATGAGACACGGTCAGGGCGCGAAGCGGCGCGGATGCAATCCGGGCGAGGAGGCGACACAAAAGTGAGGAGGATGCGACGATGGTGGGGAGGCGACAGCGAAGCTCCGCACTCGTGGCGAGTAAACTGCCGCGGCCGCGTTTTTCGCGGATGCCTCCCTGACGCTATGACAAAGGCGGCGCGAGAAGCAGGCAATGACGCGGCGAGGCCGCCTCGTTTGTGGTCCTAGCCGCGACGGGCATGCAGGATGCGGCGAGGATGAGTGATGCGAAGATTTCGCGACGTAGTTGCGACGTAGAAGCAATGTTGCAAAGAGTGAGAGGCAACGCTACGGACGGCTGCGAGGAGGTGCGAGGAGGTGCGACGAGGGCGGAATGGGAGGTGCGGATTGAGCGTAACCCACTTATCCTCTCTCCCTGGCCAGCACGGGCTAACCATAAACATCCACTTGCGCGCCTTGTCGACCCTGCAGCTAAGCACATCTGTGCTCTGTTCGCCACAGTCGCCTATGTCCAGCAGCGCGGATCGTGCTGTGTTAGGTTTGACACCACCTGTTTTCCAGGTAAGTAGAGTGCAGTGAGGATGGCGTGATGTTGTGAAATTGGCGTTTAGAACTTGTAGTGTCAGGTCACGCGCTGCTATTTCATCCCCCTCCGCCATTCCTTCCCCCAACCCAACCCTCTCACGAAATCGGGGGGACTCGCCATCCTCGTTCGAGTTCATCGCACTAGTGTTTGAGGGCTACGCTCAATTCGCAATCCAATGAACACACGCCACAGGGTTAGCACTAAAAATGCCCCCAAAAATCCCCTTTTGGTATGTAGACCGCAGCTTTAAATCACATGCCGGGGGGATCTTCCCCTTGTAATTCAATCTATTCCATTTATATGTTGCTTCTTGTTTTGTAAAAGCCTCAGAGTCTGCACCCCTTCTAGAGCAATGGGTCGCATCGCATGCATCACATGACAGCATACAAAGCAGTGTGGGCAGTGCTGGAAAGTAATAAGTGCTCAACTCAGAAACTCCTTCCACATTCTCCACATACATTCAAGCACCTCCCAGCGGCAGAGGCCGACTGCTACATGAATTGCACATACATCATGACCCTTCATTAGCTGTACAGTACAAGCACAGGCATCTGGACGAATGAGTGAGTGAGTGCATTTGCCTCGCCTGTGATCACTGGTGCATTGACCCCACACCGGCAGCACACTGACCCGTGCTGGGCAGCACAGTGACTGCCCCATGGCGAGCAGCACAGTGACTGACCTGTGATGGAGGGCAGAGTGGCGGACTTGCCGCGCACGTTGAGGTGGCGGCGCGACTTGAGGTCGCCCCCGTCCAGCACCTCGCACACCACGTCCTCCGCGCGCGTGCGCTTCACCTGGAACGACATCATGCCGCCTGGCGGGTGGCGGGAGAGACAACGGTGAGGGCAGAGGGGGAAGAGACAGGGGACGGAAAGAAGGGGATGGGAGGGAGGAAGAGCTTCTCTTGCCGTGCACTGCACCTGGTGTTTCGTCATGCAGCTTGCCGTGACGTGGGGGGAAAGAGGGGCGACGTGGGAGGCGAGGGTGAGCAGGAGGTGGCGAGGGAGGTTCAGAAGAGCGCAAGCACGTGCAAAGCGAGGTGAGTGAGGTGAGGTGAGGTGAGGTGAGGTGAGGTGAGGTGCAGAAGACAGCATGCAGAGAACACGGAACATAAGAGGGAAGCATCTTGCATCAGTAGCAATCTCATCCGCTTCTAGGCTTTTGTCTGCTGGTGACGTCACAATGCCCTCTCCTTGCCCATGATGATGACGTCGGCAACGCGCCCTGCCAGCTCACCATCGACGAGGATGATGTCATCGACGTCCACGTCATCAATGAAGCCATCGTAGTTGACGCTGACGGTGCGGTGCGACCCCACGCCCCGCCGGATGGTGAACGTGAAGCTCTCCCCGGGCTCCAGCTCTATGGGCTGCGGCAGGTCGCCGCTTCGCACCTCGGGACCCTGGGAGGGAGAGCGGGGGGGTGGGGTGTGCGTGCGCCGTGCGAGGTAAGGGGGAGCAGGAGAGAGATGGAGGGGGAGAGACGGATGGTGAAGGTGAAGCGCTCCCCGCGCTCCAGCTCTATGGGCTGAGGCGGGTCACCGCTCCGCACCTCGGGCGGGACCCTGGGGGGGAGAAGAGGAGGGAGGGGGGACGGGGAGGAGGATGGATATAGGAGGGCGAGAGGGGGAGAGAGGGAGGGCGGAGGGCGCGGGATGAGGGGGCGGGCAGTGAGATTGGTCACCAAGGACGCTCAACAGTATTCAGCGCCAAAGAGTGCTCGAGGGAGAGTGCGGCGCACCTTGGTGTCGAGCATGATCGCGAGCACATTCCTTGCGCCCTGCCTGACCCGCCCCTGCAGTCTCTTTGAACCCAGCTTCTCTGCTCCTCTGGCAGCACTGTTCAATGGCAAGGGCGGCTCAAGAGGGCGTGCACGATGGCGCACCTTGGTGTCGAGCATGATGGCGCACCTTGGTGTCGAGCATGATGGCGCACCTTGGTGTCGAGCATGATGGCGCACCTTGGTGTCGAGCATGATGGCGCACCTTGGTGTCGAGCATGATGGCGAGCACGTTGCCGGCGCCCTGGCTGGCCTGCCCCTTGTTGTACTCGCGCACGAGGTCCACGACGCGGCGGTGCGACTGGTGGTCGCCGTGGCTCATGTTCAGCCGCACCACGTTCATGCCCGTCTCCGCCAGCTTCCACAGCATCTCGCGCGTGTTGCTGCGCGCGCACCACGGCGGAGGGGATTGGGAAGGCGGGGGGAGAGGGGGGGAAAAGATAGGGAGGTGGGGAAGGTTGAGAGGGGTGGGACGGGAAACAGGGATTGGGAACACAAGGGGGGAGAGACAGCAGAATTGACGGTGCGAGACGGTGTCGTGGCTGTCATAATATCCCAGAGCGCTGCAGCATGTGCAACACGATGGAGGGCGCAACGACAAGCTCTCGTAGCGGGGCGGATGGCGCACCTGGTGGGGCGGATGGCGCACCTGGTGGGGCGGATGGCGCACCTGGTGGGGCGGATGGCGCACCTGGTGGGGCGGATGGCGCACCTGGTGGGGCCGATGGTGCAGACGATCTTGGTCTTCCGCTGGTACGTGGACTGCTGCGTGGCCGCCACGTCAGAGTCCATCAGCACCTGCCGCTCCGTCTGCTGCGCCGCCGCCGCCGCCTCCATGTCGCGCACGAACGCCGCCTGCTCCGCCGCCGCGCGCTGCCCCTGGTACGAGTAGTAGCTGGGGGGGGTGGGGGGGAGCGGGAGGGAAGGGGAGGCGAAGGGGTGCGGAGGAGAAAGGGGAGGGGGAAGTAAGAAAGAGAGCGGGGGAAGAGGGGTGAAAGGAAGAAAAGAGTGTGAGGGGTTGAGGGCGAAAAAGAGAAGGTAAGGAGACTGCAATCAGGGGAGAATTGGAACGGCTGGATAGGCCTAGGGGTTTGGGTGCAGAGCAGTGTGTCTGAGGCGCGGGTGAGAAGGCGAGGTGAGGCGGGCATGAGCACGTAGAAGGACTTGAGTCAGTTTGCGCGATTAGCATTGACGCAAAGCGCGTAGATCCAAAGTAACAATTCAGAGCAACAAGAGTAACGAATTAAGCGCAAACTTCAAATTGTGGATCCGCAATTCGTCGACCAAGACCGTCGAAAACTCTAAGAGACGCCCGAGGCCACCTAGGCGTATCGATTTCTTGAAGTGCAGAGGCGTTACGAGATGGGAAGAATCGAACAACTCCGGAACGAGATTCAAAAAACGTCGCGAGCACAATCCCCACAGTGCCGTCGCCCCACAGCCGCCTAAAGGTACCCTCTATGAGCAACGAAACCAGCGCATTCTCAATCCCGCTCTCCGCCTCACCCGCTGGCGCGTCTGCCCGAGCCGCTGGTCTGAACGGCATCGTCCTCGGGACTCACGGGCACCAGCGCGCCGATCCCCGTCCCCTCATCCTCATCCCCCGCGCGCCGCCCCAACCGCCGCCGCGCATCCGCCCGCACGACGCACGTGCCGCTGCCGGGTCGCTGCGACGAAGTGACGCTAATGGCGGTGGAAGCGCCGTGTGTGTCGCCGTGGGAGGCGGGGAGGGCGCGAAGGCCCGCGAAGGACGCGAAGCTGACCGCAGCGAGGGCCGCCATAACGGATAGACGGGGCACTGGAAACAGTCGGTGCGATTCGCGTCGGATCGCGAGATGTGGCGGTAGCAGGCGACGGAAATAGGAGTTAGTAGAAAGAAAAGAAACTGAATCAACAGCCCTTTGTGGGTTGAGTTGAAACTAGGGATGGGACTTGTACTGTATTGTGGATCTCGCTGGAACGGTTTGCTTGCGAATTGGATTCCCCTCGTTTGAGGCACTCGCTGTTGCCTTGCGAGGCAGGCGACGGCTTCATTGGGTTGCTTTTGTGACACATCGCGAGTCCTGCTGACAGGGGCGAGGGGATGGGGGAAAAGTGAGAAGATAGATGTGAGCTGGAAGGCGAACGGTGATTTGACGTGGCGGTTACGATGATTTTGAGTAGGGTGGACCGCCCATGACAGGCAGACACGCGTCGGTAAAGTTCATCGTTGACGCACATTTGACGTGGAATGTAAGTCGAATTTCTGGAACTGTTTTATGGATACACAATGTATGTATGTACTACATTTATATCAGCCGTGATACCAGTATTAAAAACTACTTCAATGGTTTGAATGGAGTGGAAACATCAGCACAAAGATCACCGGGGAACTTGGTGGCACATTACTAGCAGGTAAGAAACTGGTGAGGATGGTGCAAAAATCATTAGGATAACCTGATTTTCGCAGTACACATACCGTAAGCAAATCCTACTCACACTTCGATTTTCCAGGCCTGATTTCAGGCCTACGCAGTGATCTGATCGAATCAGAACAGCCCTAATCAGTGGCGCCTGACGGCTCCAACCCCATATGCCGGTTGCTTCCGGAGCTAGTATGCGGTCTAGTGACCACAGCAGGCCTGCTCTGCCGTTCAGCCTCATGTGACATGCTCTTTACAAGAACCCGTCTCCCTGGATCCCGAGGCATGCCTTGAACTGCTGCTGCCTGCTGAGTGCCTGCGTGCTCGTATGATGAAGTGCGCCTAATATTGGTCCGCATGGGATTGCGGAAAGGGTGCGAATCAAGTGATGCGTGTGAAACATGGAAAATGGTACGGGAAGTGTGGGCAGCGTGGGGAGGGTGGGCAATGTGAAGAGACTGGGAAGCGTAGGGAGAGTGGGCGGTGTGGAGAGACTGGGAAGCGTGGGAGAGTGAGGAGCGTGGGAGGTATGGGAAGAGTGGGGAGAGTGGGAGGCATGGGAAGCATGGGGAGCAGGTGAAGTGTGAGGAGCATGGGACGCATGGGAAATGGGTGTAGTGTGGGAAGCATGGGGAATGGGTGCAGCATGGGAAGCGTGGGAAGTGAAGGAAGCACGAGGGTGCGTGGCATGGTCCTGGTGCTGCCACTGCATTTCTCCCGCCACACCCCCTTGGCCTGCGTCCGTGTCACCCCCAGCATGCGCACTACGAGAGCTCTGGCTGCCCTGGGAGCTCTGGCTGCCCTGGGAGCTGCTCCTTCTGCCCTCTGCACCACTGGGTGAGGACAACGCATCCCGCCCGCTCTGGCTCCACAGGTGCTTCAGGGAGATGCGGTGGGCGGCGGCGGCACTCCATCGGCGAGTGAGAGCAGATGCATGTTGGTGAGGAGAGGCAGGGCCTGCGGAACTGTGAGAGCGCCCACCAGGGGACAACCCCCTGCGGGGTCGCTCATACCCCCCGCTGCTTGATGCACGCCCGTACCCCTTGCCCTTGCTGCCAGAGTCCAGGCTGTACCTCCTCTGGCCTGCTCCGAACCTGTCAGGGTCGGTGCGTGACCGAACCAGAGAAGGGGTGAAGGACCACCTGATCCCATGCCCCGCCTCATGCCGCTCCCTCACGTCCTCCTCCCCCAACCCCTCCCTTTGCACCACCGACCTGTCTGGCCGATGACCTATCAGCACTCCGTAGCACCCCACAAGAGCAGCAGCATCGCTGTCGGGAGACGGAGGGGAGCCGCCATCCCTACTGCGACCACTACCAGCTGCCCCGCCCTGTGAGCCGAGGCTGCGGGTTCTCGGGGTGATGTGCTGCTCACTGCCACCGCCCTCCAGCCCCGACCGGCTGCGCCGCACTATCAGGGGCGCGCTGCGAAGCATGGAGTCCAGCCCGGCCCACGCTGGCCGGATAAATCTGCTCGGAGTGGAAGCGGTGGAGTTGGGTGTGGTGGACTTGGGTGTGGAGGAGTTGGGTGTGGTGATGGTGCTACTTTTCCTGCTCAAGGGCAAGCTAATTTCAAGCCGCCCACTGTTCCACGAGTGATGCGGGTCCGATTTTCTTCTGACTAAATTGTTACCATCTTCCACTTGGCCAGTGTCGCTAGAGTAACTAGAACTCGCATCAGCGTCAGCCAGTTCACCAGCGAATCTGCCTCCCCGGTTGAAACTTGCAAGAGCCGAAGCACCCCTACTACCAGTCGTGAGGCTTCGCCTTGTACCGAAGCTGTCAGGGACGTCGTTTTCCCCCAAAGACCGCGAGTGTCGAACGCCACGAGTCGGTGAAACCGAGTGGCTAACAGAAACCTTTTTAGCCTGCCCTAATCTGTAACCGTCGCGTTCGCTGTGAAACCTCGACAAGCTTCGACTGGTTTGCACACTCGCCCAACTGTTCCTCCCACCACCACCCCCGTCGCCAGTAGCGCTGCTGCCCGTGCCGGCACTCCACGTGGCACCCCGCACAAGTGCACGCGGAGCAGCGCCCATCAGCGGCAAGGCTTTCGGCGAAGCGGCTGCTCTCACGGGCGAACTTTGGTGATGGGGCACGGGCCTGTGCCTGCCGCCACCACTGCTGCTGCTCTCGCCGCTGCCCTCACTCCCCGCTCGTTCAAACTGCATCGTCCCTTCGGGTTCCCTGCCCCCCTCCTCCTCCACCTCGTCGTCCTCCTCGTCACCCGCGAGCGTAACGTAGTAATCGTCTTGCCCTGCGTAGTCAACTTGCCCTGCATAGTCAACTTGCCCTGCATATTCATCTTGGGCGGGATTATAATCTTGGGCGGCAAACTCATCTTGGGCGGCAAACTCATCTTGGGCGGCAAACTCATCTTGGGCGGCAAGCTCATCTTGGGCGGAATCGCCCTCCGTGGAATCGGAGCGGTCGTCTCTAACATCCTCCTCGCCCCCTCCCTGCGCCCGCGCCTCCTTGTGTCGCGCAAGCCCACGAGCCGCCCCCACGGCCGCCGCTGCCGCCTTGGCGGCGGCGGACAGCACGCCCCGCTCACTCCCCGCCTTTCCCCCCGACACGCGCTCCGCGCCGGCGATACTCCCCCCGCCGCTCCTGCAGCTCCCGCCGTTTTCGTCTCCACCGAAAATCCCGCTGCTGCTGGCGGGTTGCGCAAGTAGCTGAAGTAGGCTGCTGTTCTCGTTGCTTCGGCTGCTGCTGCTGCTGCTGCTGCCGGCCTTCCCGCCCGCGTCCACCCCGTCGTGTGCCTTCCATCCCTCCACGGCGCGCTCGCTCACGCGGTGCCCGCGCTGCAGCGAGGGCCGGCGCAGCGTCGCGACGAGCAGCCTCCACACGTCGTGCGCCTCGCGCACCACGCGCTGCGCTTTCCGCGCAGATTTCTCCCAATCGTCCGCGTCGCTGCGCTGCGGGGACTCGAGAATCCGCCATGGGTTCGGCCCGACTGTTGTGAACCCTCCCGCGTCGGCCCACGCCTTCACTTGCGGCAGCGCCGTCGCCGCGACGACCGCCGTCTCCCCCGCCTCGACTTGCGGATCGTCCGCCGCTACCACTACCAGCTTCCACGAAACTTCCGACTTCAGGCCCGGGCGCAGGCGCACGGGCAGCGCGAGGAGCGGCAGCACGGGGAACACGTCGCCGGGGTCGCGCTCCCTCGCGCCCACCTCCACCGCCTCCAACGGCGCGTTGTCCAGAATCACGGGAAACGCGGCGTCGGGCTCGGCGAAAGGGTCGCCCGAGGTGTCGCTAGAGGCGTCGCCCAGAAGATCGCCGAAGGGGACGCAGGACACGGAAAGCGAGCGGAAAAAATCACGCCTGATCGTAGCGACGGGTTCGCTTGGGGGGGGAGCGGTTGGGGTCGGTTCGGAGGGAGCGGGCGCGAGGACGCAGGTCTGCGGAATTATGCCGACGTTCCACGGGCGCTGCTCCGCGTCGTCGACGCGCACGCTGCCGTCGAGCGACAGGCGACGACGACGACCCGAGAGCGACGCGGCGAACGACGAGGACTTGCCGGACGTGCAGATGAAGTTGAGCGGCGCGGATGGCTTGCTGCGGGACGAGCGTTGACTGGCGGCGGTGGGAGCGGGGGAGAAGAGGACGATGTCGTGCCAGATGGAGACGACGTGGCCCGCGCGAATGAGCGGGAGGAGGTTGCCTTGAGGCCGTTCCGACATGATACGTCGCGACTAGGAGAACTATTTTGGGACATGGCGGTGAGTTGAACTTTTGGATGAGGGATTTCTCGAGTGTCGCTGAGCAATGGCGCATGGACAGTATACAGTATACTGTTAAAGTTGCTCCATGGTGTTGAAAAGCTTGCTTTGCCCAAATTCTTGGCGAGCACTTCATCGTTTCTGGATTTGGTACATCCACCCACTTCTGGCTTTGTGGTCGCTTCGCTTGTGAGGGCGAATTATTGTATTTGAAGGTTCATTCTGGTGCGCAATGGTTTAAACCGGTGAGAGTCGAAACTTGCAAGCGTAGCCGACCGTGCGCGTCAGAAGAACTATCGTATGACCTGGCCCCGAAAGGGCACCACCAGTCCAAGCCGAACCCGTCGGCAAACTGTCAAGCTTTTGTAAGTGCCTCTTTGTAAGGAATTTATACTCCTTACTGACATTACTCTACAAGTACAACATTTTTTCTAAATATCAGGCTCGGCCCGATGACCTTTAGCTGACATTCGTCCCCTTCGGACTCGTCTTCCAAGGTCCCCGTCTAGCTAGGACCCTCGTTACATCTTTTCTAGGCTTCGATTCAATATCAGTACCGGTAGTTGCAAATAACTGTCAAATATGACAGACAGTAGTGAGGCATGTTCTGTAAGGTACAAACATTAGGGTTTGTTATATGTACCCAAACTGATTCCAATGACGATATCCTTTCCCATTCTGAGATGGTATCAGTTAGGTTAGACTAGGATCTGTCAGTAGAGCTGCATTGTGAGATACCCGATCGATGATAGGGGGGTTACAGTCGCGTTCGCGTTGGGGGTTATGGGCGCACGGACCTGCTACACAAACAAGCCCTTTCATCCCAATGGTCTAGTGGTTGGGATTCTGACATGGTATCAGAGCGGTATCGGGTTCCAATCCCGGTGTATGCACTTAAGGCCGTTGCCGCTGTGCTCGGTTTTGGGCCTCCCATTGTGAGGGGGTGTCAGTAGAGCTGCACTATGAGATCCGTGATTGATCCTAGAGGGGTTACAGGCGCGTTCGTCCAGGGGGTTATGGGCGCACGGACCCACTACACAAACAAACCCTTTTATCCCAATGGTCTAGTGGTTGGGATTTGTTGGAATTAAGGTAAATTTGGGTTGCTCCAATAAACATATGTAGTGATACATCTACACTATAGTAGTGTAGAATACATTGGTTGGGTTGGGAGAACTTGTGGTGTACACTCTATAGAGTGGACCACCTCCCAAACCCTATAGGTTAGGGTTCTCTCTTGTTGGAACTTCACTTCTTGGAAACCACTTTGGTTCTAACATGGTTCATGCCCAAGTGGGCTCCTAAGATTCCTAGGTTTTAAGAGGAGGTTCTAAGACTACTAAAACTTCCGCTAGTAGCTTAGTTCATTCTAATATGGTATCAGTGTTGAAAGACTAAAGTTTAGTAGGCTTAGGAGCCATGGTAGTTAAGTGACTTAGTGGTGAAGTTCGAGGGTAAGGAAAATTGTCGAGAGAGTTGTGTGAGAGAATGATGGTTTCACTATAGGTTCAAGGGTACAAATATGAAAGAAGTGAAGCAAGGTGCACCACCTAACAAGCAAGATAACTACACTAAGTCTACATTGCATGTAGTTATAAAGTGATGTATACAATAACATTCTGACACACCCCCTAACTGCCTGCAGTGAAGAACCATGTGCAGAAACACCCCCGGAAGGGGTACACCAAGCAGAGCGCAGCAGACAGAGAGGGCAAATGAGGAGGAGAGACTGTGGAGGAAGAGAAGATGCGAGGCAACGACTGAAGCTGCAGAGGCACGGGCACAGGAGCGGCTGACTCAGTGGCTACCGAAGCAAGGGCGACGGACTACTGGAGTGACTGGCTCCGCGGCTATAGACGAGCGGCAGGAGCAACGGACCCACTGGCGACTGGTGCAACAGGCTCACTGGCTACCGAAGCAAGGGCGACGGACTACAGGCGCTGCAGGCGACACGACAGCTACCTTCACACAACCTCCCCCAGCTGCCCCACTCCCCTCTCACACACTCCCTGTTCAAACCCTAGCTCCACTCCCACAGCACCCCCCTTAAACCCTAAACCCTAGGCTCCCACACACCCACCCCCCTCAGCGACAGCTGCAGCAGTGGGAGACGAGGGAGGAGGAGGAGCAAGGGGAGGAACACATAACCGCCACCCCCACACCCGCCACCCCCATGCTCGGCACCCCACACCCCCAGCACCACGGAATACACGGGGGGGGGGGGGGGGGGAACGGGACGGGCTGCAGGTGCGGGCTGCTCCAGGGGCGGCCGCTGCAGGTGCGGGCTGCTCCAGGGGCGGCTGCTGCAGTTGCTGGCTGCTCCAGGGGCGGCTGCTGCAGGTGCGGGCTGCTCCAGGGGCGGCTGCTGCGGTTGAGGGCTGCTCCAGGGGCGGCTGCTGCAGGTGCAGGCTGCTCCAGGGGCGGCTGCTGCAGGTGAGGGCTGCTCCAGGGGCGGCTGCTGCAGGTGCGGGCTGCTCCAGGGGCGGCTGCTGCAGTTGCGGGCTGCTCCAGGGGCGGCTGCTGCAGGTGCGGGCTGCTCCAGGGGCGGCTGCTGCGGTTGAGGGCTGCTCCAGGGGCGGCTGCTGCAGGTGCGGGCTGCTCCAGGGGCGGTTGCTGCAGGTGAAAAGTAGGAGGGAGGGGAGGGGAAGGGTGCGGCTCCCAGGGCGCCCTGACGGGCGACGAGCTAGGGGGCCGCGCAGGCCCCCGAGAGCGCCTCGACGGGCGACGGGAGGGGACCGCGCGCGGGCCCCCAAGACGCCTCGACGAGGCGACGGGAGGGGCCGGCTCGCGGGCCCCGAAAGCGCCGCGACGAGGCGACGGGAGAGGCCTGCGTGCGGGCCCCCAAAACGCCGCGACGAGGCGACGGTCGGGGCCGGCGCGCGGGCCCCCAAGACGCCGCGACGAGATAGGAACCCGCCGCGCGCCGCGGGGCGCACGGCGGGCAGAAAACCGCCACGCGCCCCGAGCGCGTGGCGGGAAGAAAAATAGGAGGTCGCGCGCCACGGGGCGCGCGACACACAGTAGGGCAGCGGAAGTAGGTGGGCCCACAGGCCAGGAGCGTTTAGCTCTGATAGCATGTTGAAAGACTAAAGTTTAGTAGGCTTAGGAGCCATGGTAGTTAAGTGACTTAGTGGTGAAGTTCGAGGGTAAGGAAAATTGTCGAGAGAGTTGTGTGAGAGAATGATGGTTTCACTATAGGTTCAAGGGTACAAATATGAAAGAAGTGAAGCAAGGTGCACCACCTAACAAGCAAGATAACTACACTAAGTCTACATTGCAGGTAGTTATAAAGTGATGTATACAATAACATTCTGACAATCAGAGCTAGGAAGGCCTAGCAATCTGTTGGAATAGGAGTTACTCAAGACATCGGACCATAATATCTTGGTGGAAGCTATTTAGCTTCCATTCTTCCCGAAAGGCTGCCGAAATTGCACCGTGGCGGACTCTGGACGTGGGAAGGGAGGAGGAGAGAAGAAAATTGCTGGAAATCGTGTGGATCCGTTCGGGAGGACGAGAAGAGCGACATCCATTCACAGAGGCGCTCAGTCAACTTTGGCCGATCAAGACGTGCAGCACGATCTACAACAATTGCCTCGGAGTCGTCACCAATCGAAGAGCGGATCGGACGCAATTCGCGAAAAACTGACGGCGGCCGAATTGGAAAATTGCAAATCGGGGACGATTTAAAGCGCGGAAAAGAAATTGGAGGGCGAGCGCCAAGAGAGGACACCAAGGCGCATCCAACAAGCCAAAAATCGGGCGAAACGGTTGAGTCTTCGTCGACGGAAACTCGGCCAACTTCGACGAGTTTAAGCGGACAGCTCGGACGTGGGATCCCGGAGCGCGATACATCATTGGAACGGGCTCAAAGCGAGGATTCATCAGAATCTAACGGCTCATCATTCGGAGGTTCGAGCGCGAAGTTATGCTCCAAAAACCAAGAGGGGGTGAATCTGTCCGCATCGTCTTCACCGCCACCGCCGTTGCCTCCACCACCACCTCAACGTCAATCTTCAGTGCCTGCGCCACAAATGGATCACGACTCAGGCGAAGGGAAGCTGGAGAGTGCGCCAAAGTTTGATGGGAGCGACTATTGGACTTGGAGCTTCCGATTCGAACAATGGGCAGAGGCGCACGATCTATGGGGGTACTTTGACGGCTTGGAGGAGCGACCTGCGACGGGTGACGCACGGCTGAAGTGGGAGAGGAAAAATCCGAAGGCATTCGCCCAATTTTGCAATGCCTTAGTGCCAGATGAGCTGATTCGCTTGGTATGGGAGTTCGGCGGCAAGACCGAATTGGGCAGCACACCTGTTGATGGCGCAGCAAGAGCAGTCACTCAGGTTCCTGCAGGCACAGCAGCGGCATACACACGAGTGAAGGAGTTCTACCTTCAGCGTGGATTGTGTAATCGGATGGCACTCTCTGAGGAGCTCTCCTCATTGAAGATGAAAGAGGGAGAGGGAGTGGCTGCATACTGGGCGCGTACCGAGGACTTGAGGTCCAAGTACTTGGCTGCAGGAGGGAAGGAGGAGGTTGAGGAGTGGATGATGAGGGTACTCAAAGGACTACCTCCTCACTTTGAGATGCTAAAGGTGGTGCTGAACAACCAGTCATCATCACTCACTAAGGATCAGCTGCTTACCTCCTTGAGGAGCGAGGAGATGCGGATTGGTGTCGCACCAAGATCGGATGGTGTAGCCACCTTTGGAGCGGGTACGAAAGAAGGCAGCAGCGGCAGGGGAAATTGGGACAAGAGAGGAAAGCATGGAGGCACCGGTAGCAGCAGTGACACCAACTCGGGCAGATGGGGTCAAGGGAAAGGCAAAGTGGGAGTGCTTGATTTCCCCTGGGGGTCCAAGGGCATGGCTCCTCGGGGGTTGTGTCATGGCTGTTGGGATGAGGGACATGCATGGCAGCGATGTCCTCATCGACCTAAGGGAGGCATTCCGGCATTCTTAAAGCGGGGGGGTCGTGGGTCCAACGGCAAGGCACAGGTGGCGGATGAGGAGGAGCAGTGGTTGGAGAGGCAGTTGCAGCAGTGGGAGAGGAGCAGCCGCGAGAGGAGCAGCCGCGAGAGGGGTGGTGGATTGACAGTGGGGCCAACCACAACTTTACTCCTTATGCGTCAGACTTCAGCCACCAGAGGTTCGGGGAGTTAGATTGGGAGATGGACGGGTGGTGAAAGCTGTTGGCATGGGTGAGGTGCCAGTTGTTGGTGCTGGAGGTCAGCTGCTGAGGATTCAAAAGGTCCACCTTGTGCCTGAGATGCACACGCGTCTGCTGTCAGTCCCACACTTCACCTCTCGAGATGTCATTGTCACATTCAAGGGCAAGAAATGTGTCCTTCAACGGGGGGAGCGGGTGTTGGCGATTGGAGAAAAGGAGAGGGGAAGGGACCATGGATTGGTGCGGATGTTTCTTCCTCTTGCTCGGGGCACACAAGGCAGTGCTCTTGCAGCTGGGTCCTCCTCCTCATTTTCCCCATTGACCCTTGCCCATCGCCGCCTTGGTCATACCGCCCCCACAACATTGCAATAGATGGCTCGGGGGAACAGTGTACTGGGCTTGGAGATTGGGGGGGGGAGCACTGATTGCTCCCCATGTGAGCCTTGCTTATTGGGAAAGTCGGCTCGGAAGCCGTTTCCCCACGAGGCGTCTCGGGCACTTGGGCCTTTGGATGAGGTCCACATGGATTTGTGGGGGCCAGTGCGCACACCGTCACTGGGAGGAGCGGTGTATGTCCTCAGTCTCATTGGCGACTTCACCAGACGAGTTTGGTCGTTCCCCCTCCCCAACAAGGAATCGGCCACAGTTGCAAAAGTCCTTCGCCAGTGGCATAAGGACGTGGAGTTGGAGTGTGGGCGGAAGCTGAAGGCCGTTCGCTCGGACAGGGGTGGCGATTTCTTGGGGGAAGCTGTAAAAGCATGGAAGGCGGAGTTTGGCATTAAAACTCAATTGAGCGTCGCAGATACACCGCAACAGAATGGGGTTGTGGAGAGGTGGCACAGGACGATGGCAGAGGGGATTCGCACATTGTTGGTCGACAATGGTCTCCCTGCTCGCTTGTGGGGTGAAGCATTGATGTGGGTCGTGTGGGTTAAGAACAGGGTCACCCACAGTGCTTTGCCTGCCTCCATCACACCAATGGAGGCGTGGTCCGGCCAGAAGCCGCATGTGGGCATGGCTCGGATTTGGGGTTGCATGGGGAGTGTCATGCTGCATGGGCATGAGAAGGGTGGCAAGCTTGATGCACGGGCTGTCATGTGTGTCTGTGTTGGGGTGGACATGGAGAGCAAGGGTTGGCGCATGCTGGACCCTTCTCTCATGCGCATTCGCAATGCTCGGGATGTTGATTTTCTTGAGAATGTGATGTGGAAGGATTGGGACAAGGCAAAGGGATTTGGGGAGCTTCTGCAGGATGCAGCTGCAATTTCCCAACTCCTCCCTCTTCCACTCTCGCCACCCTCCGCAACGGCTGACGACGTTGAGATGCCACCTTCATCACTGCCACCGGCACCGCTGAGTGTGTCGGTGCAGCAGCTGCCCACCCCTCTGCAGCAGCTCAGTGGCCCCTCGGTCATTCAGCGGAGATCCGCTACACAGGCTACTTCCTCTTCCTCCTCCTCTGGTCAGCGCTCTGTCCCTCTCTCTACGGGTGCCCCTCCGTCACTAGCGAGTACCTCCCCACCACCGGTTACGGGTTTGCAGGTGCTTGGTATCCAGTCTGGTACAGGTGGTGAGGAGGTAGGGGGGGATGCTGGTGTGGTTGAGGGCATGCTGTGTTTGGCCAGGGAGGTGGAAGGTGTTGCACTGGCAGGTGTGAGCACCGGTGATGTCCCACGCACACTCGCTGAGGCCCTGCGTGGCCCTGAGGGCCCTGCGTGGAAGGCAGGCGCTGAGAAGGAGGTAAATGCAATGCGCACTATGGGTGTATGGGATCCAGAGCCGGTCGACTTACCTCCAGGTAAGAAGGCCATTGGGGTCAGGTACGTTTTCCGCAGGAAAACTGACAAGGAGGATAAGGTGGTACAGCACAAGGTTCGCCTTGTTGCTAAGGGGTACACTCAGGAGCCCGAGAAGGACTATGATCAGGTATTTGCCCCTGTGGGCAAGCTCACCTCAGGTCGGGTGCTTCTTGCAGAAGCCGCGGTAAAAGGGTGGCATGTACAACAGGAGGATGTTGATCATGCTTACCTCAATGCAGTCCTTCAAGAGGAGGTGTATGTGAGGCAACCTGAGGGATGTGATGATGGTGCAGGTAGGGTGTATCGCTTGCGCAAAGCTCTCTATGGGCTCAAGCAAGCGCCTCGTGCTTGGAATGAGGAGATTGGTACCACCCTGATTGCAGCAGGGTTTGACCGCAGTGCATGTGATGAGGCTCTGTACATCAGATTTGTGGATGAAGAGCCAGTGTATGTATTGGTGTATGTGGATGACCTCTTGCTTGTGTCTCCACGCTTGGAGCTGATCGGTCAGGTCAAGGAGGTGCTTGCTCAGAGGTACCAGATGAAGGATCTAGGTGAGGTATCCACGTGCCTTGGTGTGGAGGTTCGCAGGTCGGTCAAGGATGGGTGGTTGGAGATTGGTCAGGAGAAGTATGTCCGTGGTCTCCAGGGAAGGTTTGGTGATCTGCTGAAGGAGACCCATAGGGTGCATACTCCAATGTCACCCAATGATCTCTCTAAGATCAGAAATGGTACTTGGTCGCCTGAGGAAGGTGTTGCAGCTGATGTCAAGGTGTACCAGAGTCTCATTGGCAGCTTGATGTATGCTGCTGTGACCACCCGTCCTGACATGTCTTTCCACTGTCAACACCCTTGCACAGTCCTGCGTGGCACCAAGACGCATTCACATGCGCGCTGCACTGAGAGCACTCAGGTACTTGGTCGACACAGCTGATCGTGTCATCAGGTATGAGCGCCAAGGTGGTGAGCAGGTTGTTGGGTACACAGACTCGGATTGGGGTGGTGAGACTGATGGCAAGAGTCGCTCTGCCTACATCTTTAAGCTGGGAGGAGGAGCAATCAGCTGGTATAGCAAAAATCAAGGCAGTGTCGCAGAAAGCTGAGTACAAAGCTCTATCAGAGGGGGCCAAGGAGGCCATTTGGTTGAGGAGTTTGTTGGCAGAGATGCATGTGGGGGATGGGGGGGCTATTCCATTGCTCTGTGATAATGAGGCTGCTGTCTCCCTTGCCCACAATCCCGTTCTCCATCAGCGCACCAAGCACATTAAGCTGGCATGGCACTTTGTACGGGATGCGGTGCGCCAGCAGGAGGTCGAGGTGCACTCAGTACGTTCCCACCTCCAGGATGCCGACATGCTCACCAAAGCTCTTCCAAGCTTGCAGTTGCATGAGAACCTGGAGCGCATCGGCATGCGAGTGATGGCTGCGAAGGCCAAGGCTTCATTCGCTGGAGGGGTTGCGTTTTGATTTATGGGTGAACTTTAATGCTTATTGGAGCAAGGGGGGGTGTTGGAATTAAGGTTAATTTGGGTTGCTCCAATAAACATATGTAGTGATACATCTACACTATAGTAGTGTAGAATACATTGGTTGTGTTGGGAGAACTTGTGGTGTACACTCTATAGAGTGGACCACCTCCCAAACCCTATAGGTTAGGGTTCTCTCTTGTTGGAACTTCACTTCTTGGAAACCACTTTGGTTCTAGCATGGTTCATGCCCAAGTGGGCTCCTAAGATTCCTAGGCTTTAGGAGGAGGTTCTAAGACTACTAAAGCTTCCGCTAGTAGCTTAGTCCATTCTAATAGGATTCTGACAGGATCCGCGGCCGTAGCGCGTTTAGCACCCGATGTGCCCGTAGCGCCCGTCCGCCCGTCGCGCCCAGCTCGTAGCGCCCTGCCCGTCGCGCCCGTTGCGCCCCGCCGGTCCCTCCCGTTGCGCCCCGCCGGTTCTATCCCGTAGCGGCCTGCCCGTCACGCCCATAGCGCCCTGACCGTCGCGCCCTGACCGTCGCGCCCTGCGCGTCCGCGCTCCCTGCGCCCTGCCCGTCCGCGTCCGTAGCGCCCTGCCCGTCACGCCCGTTGCTCCCCGCCCGTCGCGCCCGTATCGCCCTGCCCGCCGCACCCTGCGCCCTGCCGATCAGCGCCCTGCGCGTCCGCGCCCCTCGAGCCCTGCGCGTCCGCGCCCCTTGTGCCCTGCCCGTTGCGCCCTGCGCGTCCGCGCCCTTAGCGCCCTACCCATTCCGCCCGTGTCCAGTGCCCTGCCCATCGCGTCCGCGCCTGCGCCCGTGCACTGCCGTGTCGCGCCAGTCCCGGCTGCGCCCTACCGTCGCGCCCTGCCATCGCGCCCTGCGCCCTGCCGTCGCGCCCTACGCCCTGCCGTCGCGCTCTGCGCCCTACCAGTCGCGTTCTGCCCTTGGACTTGCCCGTCCTGCGCAGCCTACCCATTATGCTCAGGCTTTCTCGGCAGCTGGCAGCCGCATCCTCTCCCCCCCCCCCCCACCCCTACCTAGTCAGCTATGGCAGACACTAGAGTTCTCCGCTTCGATGCTGAGGGTAGACCGCTGGAGTTCTCGGTCTGGCTTCTTCGTGCGCAGCGCCTACTAGAGAGTCAGTGTCAGGCTCACGAGACCCTCTGGGCACACGCCTCCGGTGACCTCCCTGCGCCGCCTGCCTTAGCTGCACTAGGCACTGATCCCACTGTTGCAGACAGGGAGCGCTTTGCACAGGAGTGGGCTGCCCTTACACCTTGGAAGACTTGCAACGTAGTGGCCTGCATCACTCTCAGCAGCCTCTTCTCTGAGTCTAAGGAGGCGCACTTCACTCAGGTTCGCTCTGCTAACGAGTTCACCACTTTGATTAAGGCCCGCTGCTCCACTCCCACCACTGTCTCACTTGGTTGCCTGTTCCCCCCGTTCCTCTTTCCTGACCTCGCCTCCTTTGAGCGCTCAGCTGACTTCATCACTCACCTGCGTTCACTAGACTTGAGCTACCGCGCTGCCTTGCCGACGCACAGCTCACACTGCTCCCCCCCCTTATGGCGATCACTATGTATTTTATCTTCACTAACCTCCCTGACCACCTTGCCACTATTCGCGATGCGCTTCTGCTGAAGCACCCTAGCGAGCTTACTATCGATGTACTTGAGACTGTGTTCAAGGACGGTGAGAGCAACCTCCGCTCGGTAGCTTCCGCCTCGGGCGCTGTGTTTTTCTACTGTTTAAGGGGTGCACTGTCCCACAGGTGCCCACCTTTACTGCCTCCATTGCATCTACCGCGATCGACGAGACCGCGGCCCCTGCCACAATCTCTGCGAGGTCTAGAGGCAGGGGTGGCAGGAGGGGCGGCAAGGGTGCGAGCAGTAGCGGAGGTAGCGGAGGCGGCGGAGGTGGGGCCGCAGCGGTGGTGGAGGGAGCGGAGGAGCTGGTGACAAACCTAGTGCAACCACTAGTGGCTCGCGTGATGCGGCTGGTGAAGGTGACACTAGGGGTGGTCAGGGACCTGCAGGGTTGCCAGCCATAGGCGCAGGAGTGGCAGCCTGGTACCTGGCTCATCGGTAGCAGCAGCAGCAGTACCCCTTGCGCTCGCAGCAGCCACAACAGCAGCAGGTATAGCAGCAGCGTCTAGGCCAGCGTCCGTTGTCACGTGGCGACGCCCACCCGCCCTGCCTATACTTCGTTCAGACCGGAACTCGTAGTGGCTACCGCTGTGGCTGACGTCACCCACCGGGTCAGTGCTTTGCTCAGCGCACTGACCGTCTTCGTGCGCCGTACGGTGCAGACGACCCTGTGCCTGACTGGCTCCATCTTGTTCACTCGCACGGTCCCACTTTGTAGAATATGTCTGCATCTCAGTTGCTTGATCTGTTAGGATCTGTGCATGCTATGTATGCTGATGTTGACTGTAGTGCCCCTAGCTCTGTTTGCTCGTGTGTTCATAGCTTAGGTGCTACTGTTGATCTTGTGCCCGTTGCTAGTGTAGGTGTTTGTTTAGGTGCTAGTCCAGGTGCCACTTCGGCGGACGCGTCGCTGTCTTTCACACCGGACTCTAGTGCATCGCAATGTTTCTTCCGCGACCACACGACTCTTACTCCGCTTCCTGCACCGGTCTCTATAGCATTGGCTGATCCCACTTTGGGACCAGTCATTGCTCGCCACTTTACTCCGCTTCCGTGCCCGGCCACCCCTTCAGGTTCCCTGACAGGCCTCCACGTGAAGGCCTCTAGGACACCAACGTACCGACTCATGTCAGTCGCTTGCCCACCCCACCGTCCTGTGGCACCACCGACTTGGTCACCCGTCCCTTCCCCGCCTATGCACTATGTCCAGTCAGCGTCTTGTCTTAGGCCTCCCGCGAATCTTGCCATCGCTGTCACCTTCGCCTGCACCACCGTGCGGCCCTTGCGTCGAGGGTTGGCTCCGCGCCACCCCTCACTCCTCCTCCCTTCGTCCGACCATCGCCCCCCCTTCAAGGCTCTCCAGTTGGACGTCAGGGGCCCCGCCTCTCGCCCTGATCCTGAGCAAGAGAGTTTCTTTCTGATGGTCGTTGACGACTACTCTCGCTACACCACCGTTTTCCCTTTAGCGAATAAGTCTGACGTGACTTCTACGCTGATCCGGTAGTTGCTCACCACAAAAGGTACTCGTCACCGTCGTGGCCGCCGGAGGCTCCACAGGGTACCTGCAGGAAACGACCAGCCAGATGGGCGGCACAGCCAGATCTCCTCGTGCAGGCTGCCCTGTAGGAAGGCTGTGCTGAAGTCAAGAGAGTGTAGCTCGTAGTCACGCTGAGCAGCGACGTGCAGCAGCACCCGAAGAGTGGTCATCTTCGGGTAGGGGAGAAGGTCTGGAAGAAGTCAACTCCCTGTCGCTGACTGAAGCCTCGTGCAACGTCATGCGCCTTGAAGACAGGCGGAGAACCCGGCGACCACATGCCACTAACGATGTTCGCCCTGAAAATCCACATGCCACTAACGATGTTCGCCCCAGGCGAGGGAACCTCGTCGACGTAGGTGCATGTGGACTTCCAGGAAGCCATCTCTGTGTCCATGGCTGTCTGCCACTGAGAGGAGTAGGGACCCTCTATCGCCTCTGCGTAAGAGCGCGGGGTCGGGATGTCTGGTGCATCCGGGTCTACCTCAGGGGCAAGCAGCATGGACACGAGATGAGGTAAAGCAGCGCAAAGCACTCAAACTTCTCCTATCTGTCCTCAAGGACGTCCGTGCCAAGAGCACACTCACCCCCGACGGACGGAGGACAGACAGACGCAGACTCAGACTCAGCAACAAGACTAGCGGCGTAGT